CATTATACATGTTCATGTATTTATTGAGGAAATTGATCCAAATCTACCTGTTTGCGAACAAGTGCTTTCAGAAATCTACTTTTAAGTCATGACATATTTCTCCTTCAAATGAACTGATAATCCTAGAGGTTCGTATACAGTATACATGCTGAACACAAATACTGTATATACATTTAAATAATTTTCCTCAATGAATAAATGAACAAGTATAATATTTTGACTCATTTGTTTATTTAGGTTCTCTTTATCTAGTTTCAAGGTTTACGGGAAGAACAGAGTACATTTTAGACCATATTGAATGTTCAAAAGGGTTCACAAATTTTTAAGCACCACTGTATGTTAGTGATAGGGCAGTATTAATTAAGGCCTGAAAACCTCTTGTGGAAAGAAGATACTATTGTTATGGGGATGAAATGGAATAGCCACATAAATACATCTAAAGAAAAATAAATAGTCAAAAAAAGAGTACGATTCCATTGATTTAAGAATTTTCAAAAACTCCTTTTTCAAAAGACACACATTCTGTTTGCAGTTGATATATTGTCTGGAAATTTATTAGTTTTGAAAATTTAAAACTTACTCTTATTTTCTTGTATATAAGCAGAATCTTAAATAAAATACTTCCCATACTTCCATATTTTTGCACATTTCAAAGCCAGTTGTAATCATATTTTATACTTGGCTCCACTTGGCTGTCTACTATTACCTCAGAATAAATTGTGAGGTAAAGTAGAAGTCTATAATGATATTTAGGAGGGCACAGTTCCTTGATACCTGAATTAGGCAAATCCAAAGTTGTGCGGAATAATATTATGTTATATGTAGTATTACTAGTATTTGTACTAATACTGTGAAAATGTAACATACAGTATGTAAACTTTTTCCTCAATACTGAAGCATGTAGAAAAGATGGAAACCAGACATTTTTAAAAGAACTATAGGAAAGATAAATATAGAAAATTTTTCTATAATCTTAATATTTTTAACTTATGGAAATACTTCTAAAATACAAGCATTTTTCAAAGCATATTAAAATATTGACTTATGATATTTATATTCCAAGGATAAACATGGAAGCCATTCTAATGTAAGATCCAAAATACATTTTCTCAAAGATGACTCACTAGTGCTACCTAAATTTTGATTACTGTAGTGAAGTTTATTCTTCTGTTTCAATTTCACTCAAAATAGAAGCACTGTAGAAAGCAGAAACCTGAAACATTTTCTTCACCTTCTTTTTAAAAGTATAAAAAGTAAAATATCTTCTCAGAACAAAACTCTAGTTTCTGTAGTCATAAAAACTACCAACATTGAAATTATCCCACAAAGACTAACTTTTTAAACTGATAGTGTTCAGATAACAACCATTGGTTTCTTAATAGTATTCTATATACAGTATAACTGACTTGGATTCATGATTGTGCTGTAAAAAGCACAATTTTGCCTGTTATTTTCATGTCAATTTTTTAAAAAAAATGTATTGAGAAAATAGCACTTTCACCTTTTCATGCTGTTAAAACAATGTCCTTTGTGATGTAATCATTTGATTATTGCTTTAACTGAGTCCATCAAATTACCACATAAAATATTTCTATCACTTATGGAATAGTCATGCTCCCGAAGTGTTGGGGACAATGGACCTGGCCTGTAAATATAATCAAAGGTAAATACATTTCTGTATCATTTTCTGCTATGGGAACAGAATATGTAATATTATTTGTAAAAATAAACCTGATTGTTATGGAAATGTAATGTTTTAGGACAAGAAGCCCAATAGTTTTAGTGTCCTATGTAGTTAATTTTTGTCAGAGATAAGATAATGGTTTGGGCTCTTTCTTCATCAGATTGCCTATACCTACAGTATTTCATTATGGAGAGGAACGTTCCATCTGCCTTGAAAGAAGCATTGACTTGCCCATTTCTTAAGAGACCTGCCCTTGATCCAACAATATTGGATAACTATTGCCCAATGCATAACCTTCCTTTGAGGAGAAAGTGTAGGGAAAGTGGTGGAACAACAACAAAGGAAAAGCGGTACTGGGAAGAAATCACGTTGGTCATTTTATTTGTGACTTCTGACAATGCACGAGTAGCGTGAATATAACCATTCCGTCCTGCTATCAATCTCAACACCCTTTGACACTGTTGACCACAGGATCCTTCTAAACTGCCAATGAGAGCTTGAAGTGGGAGGCACTTTTCTGGAATTATTCCACTTCTTTGGAATAATCCTATGGAGTACTTTTAAGGCTCAGATCTTTCCAGTATCCTGCTTAACTTCCACTAGAAGAGGTTCTCTGCCATCACTGGCAGAGAAGGTATAATTAGTATGCCGACAATACCCAAGTATACCTTTCTGCCTCAGACTGAATATGATGGAAATCCCGATCCAGTGTCTGGAGGCTGTCAGGACTTGCATGGCTCAGAATCAATGCAAACAGCTCAGAGTTAATGTTGATTCAAAAGCCAACCGGTTCTATAACAATACCATCCTTGACTCTTTATGGGATTGTCCTCCCTCAAAAGTTCAGATTTGCAATCAGGGAGTCCACCAAAGGACCTTTGCTGAGCTTTAGCTAATACATCATCTTGAGCTTTAGCAAAGGTAGGATTATACTCGGAAGATTGTTGCTTGGTACCTTGCACTTGGATTCACTCAACTTGGGGCTGCCCTTGAAGGCTACCCAGAACCTTTAACTGATGCAAAATGCAGCTGCTTGGGTGCTTAATGGACAGCCACAGCATTGCCACTTAACATTGTTCCATGTGAGCTACACTGGTTGCTGAGTTGTTTCCAAGTATAATTCAAGGTGTTACTTATAAATTCATGTATGGTTTTTGGTCTTGGTACCTTAGAGATCCTAAATCTACTCTGTCTACCTGATCTGGATAAACAGGACTGCCTGCTGAAGGTCCCATCCCATTAGGAAGTAAAGTGTGAGGAGGTATGACACCAAGGAGGTATGTGAGGGGCAGGAATTCTCGGTGGCTCCTTTGGATAGCTATAGTAGGGTTCCCCAAAGTAGTCAATATCGGCCACCAAGTGTCAATGGGGCTATCCAGTATTGTTATTATTACTTGTTGTATTGTTAGTCAAGTACTTTATTATTTTCATATAATAAATATTTAGGGATCAGTGAACAATCTGAACCTACATGAAGAGGTCAATGAGCTGAAAGAATTTGGCCTACCCCCTGAAGCAAGAATGGTGTCTACTCTATGGCTTTCCAAAGGTTATTTTAAAACCTGGCTTTTTTGGAAGACTTTTTGCGATTATAGGTTTGCTTGCACCTATGCTTGCAGCCATCTCCCTTTTTTGTCAAAACAGACTTTTGCCTCGTCTATTTTTTTTTTAAAGAAATACTGTTATGAGAAGTGGTTTTTTGGAAGTATGCTAACCTTCTAACAAATGTACATATACAGGGAGATTCAGGAACTTGGCAAACTGATACTAATGATTATATGGCTTAAGGCAATCATTTAATCAATGGGAAAACTGACGCAATAGAATGCCCAGAAAACATTCTCAAAATTACAACTGTGTCTTACTGACCCCAAATGTTGGCAATCTCTGACCCAGAGACTGCTCCTTGCCTTCTAGTTTAATTTACACTTTAAAAATCCATTATTTTTTATTTTTACTAGTGAGAAATGTTTTGAGAGAGAACAAAGCTCCAAGCCACTAAGGGGCACAGCCCAGGCTATCCTACAGTAATTATTTATATAGATAGCTACAAGATAAAGCTTCTTCCCCACTGTAACTTTTTCTTCTCAGATCAGAGACTGGAGACCACACTGTACAAGATAAAACAACTGAATGCAAGGGTATGTAACTACAGGCAATTTGTGATTATCTGTGGGAAGGCATTCTTTTATTGCAGCCTGCTTTAGGTGAAGTTATAGCACTGTTTTTAAACAACTGTTTTATCTAGTGTTGTTTTATTCATTAAATATAAATTTAACAAATATTCTACCTCTGGCAGCAAACCAACCAGAAACTTCCAAGAGATTAAAAAAAAGGATTAAAGCCTTTGCAGAAAAGACATTGACTTTTATGTATACTTTTGAAATCAGTATCCCATTTCCATACATTTCCCCTCATTTTCAGCCACGGACAAGAAAGCACCTAACCCAAAATTTGTGGGAAAGGGGTCACACATTGCATTTATGTTTTAACAAGGTAAATTCTGCCAACTTATATCCCAGTCCTAAGGAGTAGATTTGCACACTGCACCAAACCTGTGTTTTCCAAACTTGGCAATTTTAAGATGTGCAGACTTCAACTCCCAGAATTCCCCAGCCAGTATCCTGGCTGGGGAATTCTGGGAGTTGAAATCCAGACATCTTAAAAGCTGCCAAGTTTGGAAAATACTGCACTAATTCATATATTAAGACTGGAAACAAGCAAGCATGATGTCTAAACAAGGTAAACTTAGCCACTGAGGTATATATCAAACAAATCATGTGTGAACTCTCTAGAAATAAGCACACTACTCCCAGACCCCCCCCCCACCTCCCCCTTTTTTAAAATACCAAGACCTTTTCAATTGAATGTAGGTGATTTAGCTTTCAGGAATTCTAATTAAGAATAATAAGATCAAGCCTCCCGCCTCCCTTCGCTCTGCCCACTAAACCCAACCCAGTCCAAGAAAGTTGTTTTAAATGCCTCAACACTTTAGCATTAAAAAAAACAAACCTGTCCCTCCCTCCCCCCCCCCTCCGCCCACCTTTCCCTCAGTACATTTCTTCTGCCATTGCCGGCAGAGGTCAGATTTTAAAACACTGAGACAAAAAAAAAGGAAAAAGAAACCACCCTCCTCCCCTTTCCCGCCCTTAACCCAGCGGAAGGAAAGGGACGTGGCTTCTTTCCCTTCTCTCCCCTTTTGCCCTCTTGCGTGTGAAGTAACTTCCCGCCTCTCCCAAGACGTCGTCTGAGTGACAGCACCAGTTCAGCCAGCCAGCATCTGCCCCTTGTCACGTGTAGCTTCCCCCCCCCCCAGTCTCGTTCTCACGGGCCGGCCTCTTTCCCCCTTTTCTGCTGCCAACCGCGTGGTTGGCGCTAGGTACAAATGGGGGACTTGGAAGTTCTCGGAAAGGGCGGCTCGCGTGTCGCCGATGGTGGTTGTTGTACACGGTAAAAAAAAGAAACACGCCACGGGAGATGCGGGATCCTGCAGGGGAAATCGGCTGGGTCGTTACAGTTGGAGAGCCCACTTTCACGCCACTAAGCGGAGAAGTCGCGCGTGTTTTGGAGGGCGAGAAGAACAAGGAAGGAAACAACCCAGTAAGAAGTTAAAATCATGACATCCTGTCCTCGAGGCTAAAAAGTTAATTCTGCGGGGCCTGAAATTGGGGTCTGGGGCTTTCTGGCTGGGACATGGCCTCACCTTAAACATGGCTTCATTCTCCCATCGTAGAATATTTCGTTGTGTTTTACACCAAAAATCGAGAGGTCTTTGTTGTAGGTAACGTATCTGGCTGGGTATTATGGGAGATGTCTGTTTGGTATATTAGTCTAGATGGAAAAAAGCTAATCCAGTTTCTCAAAATCAAATCGGGAATTTTGCATTACCAGAAGATTTATTTCTTTTTATGCAGCACTCTGATCTTATTGTGTACTAAAACATGGTCCAATATATTAATTTTCTTTCTTTATAGTGCAGTTCCGTTTTAAATAAAGCTACACACTGCTGAACAGCCTCACTAGACCCCTAAGGACTTCCAAGTATCCAGGATCAAATTATATTACACAAAGAGAGCATGTTTGGTGTAGTGGCAAAGGCACCAGACTAGAAACTAGGCGACTGAGTTCGAGTCTTGCTTTTGGAGTAAAAGATTGGGTGCCTTTGGGCCAGTCATTCTCTCAGCCCAATTTACCTCATGAGGTTGTTTTGTGGGGAAAATAGGAGGAAGGAGTATTACGTATGTTCGCCTCATTGAGTTATAAAGTAATAAAGGTGGGATAAAAATAAAAACAACAAAAAAGTCCCCTGGCCTATGTTTAGTATAGGCTCCACATATGCACACCCCTTTCCCGGACTTATTTAGGGGAAACAGGAAGAAGCTTATTTATGTGATTCTGTTAACTCTTAGGAAGCCTCAGACATTACTTTGAGAATATTTCATTCTGTATTATTTGTTTCCTTTCAAATAGTTGGTCATGGAGGCAATTCATCTAGATGAACAACCTCCCTTGAATGCTGAAAACTTATTTAAAAAACATGAGAGCAACAAGAAAGGTATGTATATTTAACAGCAATCTAATAACTTCTCATCATTTTCCTGAAAATTTATGCTCCTCATTTTGGAATCTTGATTAGTTTTTTGACACTCCACAAATGATTCTTAAATTTTCATAGTACCCAAAGATGCTTTTCAAAAGGCAATTGGACTTGGTTTTTCCCTTGAAAACGTTTCGCTTCTTCTCCAAGAAGCTTCTTCAGTTCTGACTTCATTCTCATGTTTTGTTGGTTGAAAATCCTCCTGAGGTTTTCAGATATTCCTGTAAAATATGGAATGACAGTGTTGCTTCGTTTGTTGTTCTCTTCTTTGTTATGGAGGAGCTTTTGCTGGATTTTTTTCTAGATTTGATGAAGGCCTAAGTTCTGAGGGGTTCCTTGAAGTGTTTTAGTTCTTTTTCTGTTCTCCCTTTGCTGGTAGGCAGACCTTCAGCCTGGTGAGGTAGAATTCTGATCACTCCCATTTTGTACTCACCAGTGGGTGGTGAGAATCAAAATGTAACACTGATCTCTATGTGTGGGTCTTCTGTATGCTTCAGTCTCGAGGCTTCTGTCTTACTTAATGTTACAGCTTAGTCCAGGAAAGCCAGACTATTTTCCTTAACATCTTCCCATGTGAACTTAAGGTACCTGAGAGTTGATATGTTTGGTGATAGCTTCCACTTCCTATGTTTTAATCTTAACCCAAGTGTCATTCACATACCTATACCAATGATTGGGTGGAATTCCTGTGAAGGAGTACAGGAGGATCTTCAAATAATACAATATACATGCACACTTTAAACCCAAGAATACACGTAAGGCAGAAGCTTGTCCACCCCAAAGATAAAACACCCAAACACAAGTTGAGCAATGTAGTATATGCAATACAGTGCAGTGAGATGGGCAGATCTGGACTTTGGGAAATCAACACACCACTTCACAAAGGCATAGCATAGCATAGGACAGTGTTTCCCAAACTTGACAATTTTAAGGCATGTGGATTTCAACTCCCAGAATTCCACAGCCAGCGTTGCTGGCTGTAGAATTCTGGGAGTTGAAGTCCACATGCCTTAAAATTGTCAAGTTTGGGAAACACTGGCATAGGAGAACAGACCTACCAGGATAAGCTTCAGCAGTATATCTGCATTTGAAAGAGAAAGGTTACTTTTTTGAAGGACAGAAAAGCCCATATCCTGGACAGAGAGGACCATTGATTTGAAAAAGGGGTCAGAGAGGCCATCTATGTTAAAACTGAATAGGCCTCTGTCCACAGAGGGAGAGGAATACAATGCCACTTATCTCCTGTCTGCAACATAGTCCTTTCAACAGTTCCAAGAATGTTCCTCGCCCATTTACACTCTGATTCAGGTGATCCTGAGATAACTGATAAATCCCCAAGGATCCTCAGAGAGCTAACTCAGAGAACTAACCAGATGGCTGTAAAGAACATAAATACTTCTACAGGTAATCCCCCAGGTATAAAAGCTCATTTAGTGAGTTTTCACAAAAACAAATTTATTCAGAAAGGGTACTTACATTAGAAATTGAAAACTATGACCAAAAAGAGGCCTCTGTAGCCATGTGACTTGGATTCAGTCACTGCTGCAATGGCAGCCATTTTTAACTCTGTGACTTGCCTGGGCTATTTGGGTTACAAATGCCATTTCCTGAAGCCAGCAGGGTTTTTTTTATTTTTATTTATTTATTTTTTTGTCCCTGGTCACATGGCCAAACAAGAGCTGGTGATATTTGCAGCCGGCCTCAGTTTGTTTTTGGTTTTTTGGTGCTGGTGGAGGATCTGCTGCTGCCTGACTGGAGTGCTAGAATTGCTTCTGTTAAGTATTTTAAAATATTTTTTTTTTGTTACTCTATAGTGCTTTTTGAAAAGCACAAAGCATTCTAATCTAAAAAGTGCTTTTATTTTGGAGATTAGCATATGTTACTGTAGTTTGTAGGTTTTAAATTTAAATTGCCTCTAGAAGTTGTGGGTGCCCCATCACTGAAAGCTTTTAAGAAGAGATTGGATAGGCATTTATGAGAAATACTCTCTTGTGAGAGCAGTGGGTTAGACTAGATGACCTCAGAGTCTCTTCTGTCTCTGTTACTGTTGCAAGCTGACAGTTCTGTAAACCCCTCCCCCATGTCCCTCTGGGTGCCTAGTTGGAGACTTAAGCTAGGGGCAAGTGTTTTGTTTTTAAAACAACAGCAATGGCAATTGGAGAATTCTGCTCCACCCCTCCTCTGGGCAGCTGTCTGAAGAAGCTTGAGCTGACTAGCAACAAATGGGTTTTTTTTTTTTTTTTTTAAAAAAGCATTGCAAACCGAGAGCTCTGGAGGCAATTTAGTTCCTAAGCTCAAGGCTGCACTGGAAACAGCTGATGGGTGGCCAGCAGCAGAGGGGAAAGCCTCTCAGTTCAGGCAGCGATCAACAAATCGGAGGAAATAGTAAGTCAGATCTTCGTTCATTTAACGATCCATTTGATTCAATTAATGAATTTATTTTAAAAATTTGTAAAATTGAGTCTGATCCATTTGACAATTTTTTTTGACTTACGAACTTAATGGGCAGGCTCCCTTAGATTCGTACCTCAAAGACTACCTGTATTCCCCACCATTCAGTTCAGAACTTGAAGAAGCTTTTTGGATGAGAAGCAAAACGTTTTTAAGGGGGGGGGGGAAACACAAGTCCAGTTGCTTTTTGAAAATCATCTTAGCTATTCAATCTCTTTTCCTCTTCTTCCTGCTTGATAGTTGTTTAACTAAGGTACCAACTCGGTTCCGTTACAGATATACAGAAAATAAATACAACATCACTGCCCTGCCATCTAGTGATAGAAACACGAAAAGCCACAACTTAGTTTTTCTGAATTGAATTTAATTTCCTCAAGCTTCCTGTAAAGTTTTGGTTTGTTGCCCACTTTTGTGATTTTATCTCAAAATAATAATTATTGACTATTTGGAACTTTTCAGTCAGATTTCAGGCATACTATAGCACCAAGATAGCGTTAGTTACACTTGTGGATGACATGTGCAGGGCTCAAGATGTGTGGTTCATCCTGTCTTGCCCTCCTTGATCTCTGAGTGGCTTTCAATACCATCAGTCATGGTATCCCGCTGGGCCATCTTTGGAGGGAGTTGAATACAGGGAACTATTTTGTAGGGAATGTCCATTTATCCAAGGTTGTTTCTAGTGTGGTGGGGGGGAAAAGTTGAATGACAGAGCCCTTCATGTGAAATGCTTTGGGGCGCAACTCTCTCTATCACCAGACATTAGTGGAGTTAAGTATGTGTTCATTTATTTTGTGGAATTGTTTTTGTGTGCCTCAATTTTTCTTCTCTGCATTGCATTATTTTTGGTCATAGTTTTTTTAATACTGTTTTTTTTTTTGTAAATTGATAGTTCACAATCAGTTTAAGATGGCCATATAAAATATCTCAATAAAAATTTGGGGGGCATTAACCATACTTCAGTATCAGTTTTCAGCATGTTGATAATATAAACTGGAGGTGATGTTTAGTATCATTTGTCTTATTACATAAACGTTTATTTTTTTAATTTTGATTACTATTATGTAAGTTTATTTTTATTTTTTAATTTTGAAATGCTAAGTAGCTGCATTTGGGCAACAGGCTTCTTAGCTCTCCTTAAAGGACAGCACTTGGTGCCTTAATTTTCACTATTAAATCATTACATTGCAAACATTATATAAAAGTAAGGGGCAATGATTTCAATTTCTAAAATGACTTATTTTAAAATTTTCTCCATAGGAGCACTTACAGATATTGAAAAGCTTTATCAAGCAGTACCTCAGCTTTCAAATGTGTTCAGAATCAAAGGGAAAATTGGTGAAGGTGAATATGATTTAAAGCTTTTTGAAAATCAAAGTTAAGAGGACTGTAAGTCATTTATCCAAATTTTCTAGAGCCCCTTTTATATACATTATTTCAGAGTTTAGTATTAATTTTTGCCTGCATGGTCAAACTACAGACTGGATTATCTGAAACCTTATAGATAATGTGTCTAATTTTAAAAAAATTAAACAACAGGGAAAAAAGACTAATTAGTGCTTTGGAATACAGGGAGCATTTAATTTGGCCATGTTGCTCTACAAGTAACCCCTTCTTAGCCACCCCTACACATTGCTAGTTCGTCTGGTAGATGGGTTCTCTTGGCATCATAAACATTTCTATCCTACAGTGAATAATAGGTAGGAAAGAGTTAACTCAGTTGTTTTCTGTGTCATTGTTCAGATTCTTCTTCTGTCTTCTTTTTCCTCCGGGAATCCCAGAGGGGCTTTTTCAAAGGCAACTGGACTTGTTTTTCCTTGAAGAGGTTTTAGTTCTCATTCAAGAAGCTGAAGAAGCTTCTTGAATGAGAAGAAGCTTCTTTGATGAGAAGGGAAACGTCTTCAAGGAAAAACAAGTCCAATTGCTTTTGAAAAGGCACCTTTGGTACAACCATGGCCTGGACGATTGAGAATCTATATAGAAGATAAGATAGAAACTGGTTATTCAAGATGCTAGTTTTCCATGTAGGTAGTCCTTGGCTTATGACCAGTTGCTTAGGGTGCAGAATAGCAGTTTGCACCATTCTGTGATCCTATGACCGCATTTTATGACACCTTTGGTGAAAACTTCCAGTTTTCATCAAAACTGACCCATAACAAATCCATTGGCTTGTTTAATGACCATGACATTAGTTTAACGACTCGCAAAAAAAAGATAATAAAATCAGGTCAGTCTCACGGGTAACATGCTTTATGACTTTATGACTATCGTAACTTATGATTGTGATAAACAGGCTGCATTATGCTTTTAAGTTGAGGACCTTATGCAAGAATTTCCCTTTATTGTAAAGAAAAGTATGTACCTATGTGAGTCCCTCCTGCAATTGAAGTGGCAGTAGCCAGTAGCAGATTTCCCATTTCAAAGCTATAATTAGGTTTGTAGGTGACCACTGTAAGGCTGATGTGTGCTCTGGAACAATACAGGTAGTCCTCAGCTTACAATGATTTGATTACTGACTATTCAAACTTACAACAGCACTGAAAAAAGTGACTTACAACTGTCCTCAGACTTACAACCATCGCAACATCCCCATGGACACATGATCAAAATTCAGGCACGTGGTGACTGGCATGTAGTTACAAAGCTGCAGCATCTCAAGTCATGTGATCACCATTTGCCACCGTCCCAGCTGGCTTCTAACAAGCAGAGTCAATGGGGAAAGCTGGATTTGCTTGATGACCATGTGATCCACTTCATAACTGCAGTGATTTGTTTTACCATAGGGGGAGGAAAAAGATTGGCAAAACATTGGGTGCAACTCACTTAAAATCCGCCTTGCTTACGATGGGTATCCTGATCCCATTTGTGGTCAAGTGGACTCTCTGTATACATAGTTGGGATAGATCCAACTCATGCTTGCTGTTATTTTAACATTATTCAGGAGTATGGCAAGTAAATAGTAACTTGCCTAGAACTTGTCCATGAATTTTCTTTAGTAGTGCTTTTTTCCTTATCTCTGATACATTAGAAACCTCTTTGAAGGACAAGGAACGTAGCTCTACAATAGTATCACATGCATAAGTTGTGTGGCTGAAATAGCTTCAAATTAGGTGACAGGATTTCAAAGAAGAGAAAATGTCATTAAAGGAAAAAGAAAAGAAGAAGAAAAATATTATTTCAAGTAACTACTTATTTTTTCAATACACTTTTTACTTTAACTCAGAGCAGATTTTAAAAAATGGAAATTGTTTAAATTAGTAACCAGTATTGTCTGAATTAGAGTATAAAGTGTGTTCGGAACTTTAAACTTTACAAAACTGTTAAGATCCCTACAGAAGTATAGCTGTTTTACAGAAGTTTTTTCCCAATCTAGTTCATGGAATAAAGTTCTGTAAAGGTACTATAAGTATCTGCAATTGATAATCTACCTTTATTTTGGGAAGACAAATGAATTAAGACGGGTGATTTCTTTTCAAAACCTCAGAGGGAATGAATTTGGTGGATACGGTGTTGGGCTGATCTCTCTTTGTTTATTTTTGATACAAAGAGCCAATGTGATTAAATCTTTTGTCAAAAAATAAAAATCTAATATGCCCTTTTCTGGGTAGTATAGAATATATTCTCTACCCCCATATTTTGAAGACATATAAATCCATAAGGTTGGAGAATCTCAAAAAACAAAGAACAGGCAGCTATTTTTTAAAAATCCAAGCGTACAGCTGCAGCATAGTGAATGTAACCTTCCTTCTTAAAAGTTCATCTGAACTATGTATCACAATGACAAGGCTCATGTTCTTGCAATTGCACAGTACTTTTTTTTAAAAAAAATAAAGTTTAAATGGCTTATGCAAAGATCCAAAAAGCTTCAGATGGGGATTTGGTGGTTTAGAGAAAGAAAAAGCTTATAGAAAAACAAAATCGACTACTAACTACAACTGGAAACTACTACATTTTTGCTAAATATATCTATATTATTTTTTGTAGGAACATTTAGTTCTGTTTACTTGGCAGTAGGCCAGGTACGAGGAGGCCGTGAAGAAAAAGTGGCTTTGAAACACTTGATTCCTACCAGTCATCCTGTACGAATTGCTGCTGAACTTCAGTGCTTTATAATAGCAGGGTATGTGTGGATGTAGATGTATACAAAGATCTTACATTTCCACAAGATTCACAATGGGTTTCTTGTCATTTAGATTACTTTGATTTATGCTTTTTATAGAGGAAAAAAAATCACTCTACCACCTTTGTTACTGCTATTTAGCATTCCATTGTCACACACAAACACAGAGATGTGTGTGTGTGTGTGTGTAATATATAATATATTTAGTCCTCAATTTATGGCCATAGTTGAGCCCAAAATTTATGTTGCTAAGTGAGAAATTTGTTAAGTGCATTCTTAATTTATAACTTTCCTTGCCGCATTTGTTAAGTGAATCACTGCAATTCTTAAATTAGTAACACTGTAATAATAAAATTAATTAATTTATTTTATTTTTTATTAGTAACACTGTTGTTAAGTGAATCTGGCTTTCCCATTGGGTTGGCTTGTCAGAAGGTCACAAAAGGGGATGACGTGACTCCGGGACACTGCAACCGTCATAAATGGGAGTCAGTTTTCAAGCATCCGAATGTAAACCACATGACCCTGGGGATGCTGCAACGGTCATAAGTGTGAAAAATGGTCATAAGTCACTTTTCAATGCTGTTGTAACTTCGAACAGTCAGTACATGAACTGTTGTAAGTCAAGGACTATCTGTATATCTAAATGAACCATGGGATAATATATAGATATTATATATATTATTTCATTTATTTCATTTCAATGGGACTAAAAAAAGTGACTTATGATTAGTTTTCACATTCACATTTCACATTCAGATCCTTGGCAACTTGCATGTATTTGTGAAAGTTGCACTGTCCCAGGGTCAAGTGGTCACTATTTGTAACCTTCCCAGCCAGCTTCCAAGAAACTAACAGGAAGCCAGATTCGCTTAACAACTGCATTATTTATTTAACTGCAGCATTTTACTTAACGACCATAGCAAAAAAAGGTAATAAAATGGAGCAAAACCCACTTAACAACTGCCTTGCTTAGCAACAGAAATGTTAGGCTCAATAGCCGTTGGAAGATATTTTCAATGTGGTGTGTGTGTGTGTGTATGTATAGTATATGCAGTGTATATATGTTTTATATAAAAACTTTTAACGTTTTAACTTTTCCTGGTGATCGTTTTATTCTCTCTCTATATATATATATACATACATATATACATACATACACTGCATATATATATATACATACATATATATAGGTCTTTGGTTGTTCGGGTTTTCTCCCGCGTAAAATTGGAAGTGTCTTGGCAACGTTTCGACGAAGTCACATTCGTCATCTTCAGGCTGGTGTTTTTAGCTTCTTGCTAAAAGAAGCTAAAAACACCAGCCTGAAGATGACGAATGTGACTTCGTCGAAACGTTGCCAAGACACTTCCAATTTTACGCGGGAGAAAACCCGAACAACCAAAGACCTATATACAAATACCCGCGAAAACCTCAGAAAACATACATATATATATATATATATATATATATATATATATATATATATATATATGCATATATATGCATATATATGCATAGATGTGAATATTTTAAATCATCTTTATTGTGTATCTTAAATTTGTATCTCGCTTCATGATTTTGAACGTCTTTAGGAATACAAAAGTAGTTTTGAAAAATGACATCAGCCATTTTCTTAAACTTGTTTTTTGGATTTCATCAATGGAAAGCAGTTAGTGTGAAATGGTTTTCCTTAAAGAATAATGAAGTGTTTGTTCAGAAAAGATCTGTGGAAACATGCTAACAAGGCTATGTTCTCTCTCTTTTCCCCTTTGGGTAGGGGGCAAGATAATGTCATGGGAGTTAAATATTGTTTTAGAAAAAATGATCACGTGGTAATTGTTATGCCTTATCTGGAACATGAATCATTTTCGGTGAGTTCTAAATTCCTTTTTATTAAAAGAATTAAGAGAGTTTGATGGCAAGTTAATGCATACTTAACTTATTACAACATTTGTACAGGACATCTTGGATTCTCTCTCATTTGATGAAGTTAGAAACTACACATTTAACCTCTTGAAAGCTTTGAAGCGCATTCATCACTTTGGTATCGTTCACCGTGATGTCAAGCCCAGTAATTTTCTGTACAACAGGCAACTGCAACAGTAAGTCTAACCTACCATGTTCTTCTATGGTATATTAAACCTAGTAAGTTAATAATGTATTTAGTAAAAAAATAATTGGGTCACGAATGTCTGGATAAGGTTGAGAAAAATCAAATATTTATGGTAGAAGGGAGGAGATGTATTGAACTCGTGGCCTGCCAGTTTGGTAAACTGGTAAATTTCCAAATCAATTTTGTCACATTTAGCAGACGTGTTTTTTGCTTGCACAGTTTTTCAGTAAGTTATTCTCATTCTGTTATTAAATACGGATATTAAATGTAATATGGTACAAATTGTATATACTGTGTTTTCCCGAAAAAAGACCCAACCAGAGAATAAGCCCTAGCATGATTTTTCAGGATGCTCATAGTATAAGCCCCACCCCAAAAATAAGCCTCAATTAAGATTGTCAGCCAGACAGACAGATTTAGTACCATATTTCCCCAAATATAAGCCGTAACCAGAAAATAAGCCCTAATGAGTCTTTTGGAGTAAAAATTAATATAAGATCCGGTCTTATTTTTGCGGAAACAAGGGTATGTGCTTTCAATATCTGAATAGTATTAAACAAGGAAGACGTTTTTTAGATTCTGTTACAAGAAAAGTGAGTGTCGTCATTAACTGTTTGTATTTTTAATTGTCTTCAGATATGCATTGGTTGACTTTGGCTTGGCACAAGGAACTCCTGAGACAAAAGTGGAACTTCTCAAAGTTATACCATCCGAAGCTCAGCAAAGAGGTTCTGGATACAACAAACCTTTGATAACTGTGGGAAGCCAAATTGCTTCCCCAACATCAAGGCAGCTCATTCATCAGTCAGCCACCAAAACAGCGAATAAAAGGGTTTCTTCCATTTCACAAACGCAGATTAAACAAGGACACAAAAGAAAGGTTCTAGTTCCTTTTTTTCATAATTTTGCTGGATGGATTTATTTAATAAGTAACTTTATCCAACAGGGGGAGATATAATACCAGAATAATATGTCGTTCTGTTTCAGAGTTTTTGTATTTATATGAAATATTGAAAAAAATATATCAGTATCTGATATCACACAAAACTGGATTTCATTACTCTGAAATAATTATGCTTACATAATATTCATATGAGAGTATTGTGATTAATGGGTTCCAGTTTGGTTACTACAGAATAAAAAAATCTGGGTCTGTTCCATTATATACCTCTTTGTATTAAGCTGTAACTGCTCCAAACATCACACTGAATGAATATGGGGTTTGTCTCAGCAGGTGGCAACATATGATCAACCTAATATGGACTTGGAAACCAAGTTCCCATCTCACCTATGGTGTAGTGGTTGTTATACTGGAACTGGGGAGACCCAGGTTCCAAACCATCTCAATCCCAGCAGCTTACTGGGAGACTTTGACCCAGGCGGCTTCCCAATGCCTCACAGATTGATCGATGGGTTGATTATATGTAATCAGGTCACATACTTTTCATGATGATCTGACCTTAGCTGGTCCTTCTATTTTTCCGTCATCACTATAACTGAGTCTGGCTACATTATTGCTGCCATTTTCTTCTCTTTCCTTTGCCTTTCCCAGCATGAAGGTTTTCTTCAGAGATCTAGATTTTTCACATAATGTATCCAAAGTAGGATAATTTGAGCCTGGTCTTTTGTGCCTCTTCGGGTTGATTTGTTCAGTTATGCATTTGCTTCTTTTCTTGGCTCTCCGTGGTTTTTCAGAAGTCGCCTTCAATGTTAATGCTCAAAAGCATCAATACTGGTTTAGTCTTGCCTCTTCAGAGTCTTAACTTTCGCTTTCGTAGAGTGTTGCATGAAGTACCGTTAGTTCAGGGGTCCCCAACACCTCGGGCTGCAGCCCAGTACTGGGCCGTAGCCCGTTCAGAACCGAGCCGCAGAAGTGGCAGGTGAGCACATGCAACTCCATTTGCGCAAGCAGTGGGTGAGCGCGCACACAGCTTGATTTGTGCAGGTGGCAGGTGCAGGTGCCCGCTGCTTGTGCACGTGGAGCTGCGCTCTCGCCCGCCACTTGCATAGAACCATCCCCTCCCCCCACAAGCCCACAAAGCCAGAAAGATTGCGGACCACTGCCATAGCTTGTACAATTTTGATCTTTGTAGGCATAGATGCATCATGGTATTTGAATAACTTTTCCAAGACCTTTGTGACTGTGTACCAAATGCTAGGCTGTGGTGTGTTTCATAATGCTTCTTCCTTTATTGTTGATGGTGGATCCTAAAAAGCAAAAGCTATCCATTGTTCAGTACCTTCTTTGTTAATTGTAAGGTTTGTTCTGCCTGCTGTTGTTAGTTTGAGGTTTATATTTAATATTAGTCCTATTTTTTACTGTGCTCCTTGATTTGTATTACTAGATCTTGCAGATCCCTCACATTTTTGGCTTTAAGGATAATGCCATCAATAAAGCACAGCTTTATTCATGTTTCTTCTTCCAGTTTTAAAACCATGCTAATTTTCTACTGTCTCACAGGGAGGTTGAAAAATCAGAGGATGGAACACTATGTATTCCGTCATGAGCTCCTGAGTAAAAACAGGATAATTGATGAATACAGTTATTTCAGTATTTGCTCATTAACTTAAAGGATGTGAGTGCTGCATTAGAGATAAAATCCTCATTCTCTTTTCTTGACATCACAGGAGGATCCAGACTGTCATTCTGTTCAGCGTTCGGTTTTTGGGGAGAGAAATTTCAATGTGCGAAGCTCAGCATTTCAAGCCCGTTCCACAGTTAAAGTAAGTATTCTTATCCCAGAGGAACATATTCTGAGGAACGGTTTGCCTTTGGTCAACCACCATTCATTCATTCAGTGACCAAAGTTACAGCGGTGTTGAACAAATGGTATTTCTGTCCAGTCCCCCAAATTACATCCATTGCAGTTTCTCTTTGGTCATGTAATTAGTATTGAGCGTTAGGCAGTACAGGGGCACTTTAACTTCTCCCACCTGTCTATCTCCCCTCCCATCTCTGCTCTGTACTCCACCACCTCTGCCAGCCCTATTGCCCTGTGCCATACCAACTAAGTGGTTGGGGCGATGGAGGCTTTGCACTGGGGAACTGGCTGCAGCAAGGGGTTTGTGGCAGTACTTTGCAGTGCTAGCGGTGCCGGAGCTGAGTTATAGGCTGGGGGTCATGGTGGCTGGCCTTGATTGGTAAAGGTCCAGGGCAGTGCTTTAAATCCTAGTGGCACTTTGTAGGATAGCTAGAAGGGAAGAGATGAGGGGAACATGGGCGGATGGGGTTCAAGAGGCGTTGTAGCCTCAGGACTGGCAGGGAGCAAGCCAGGAATGGCTTGAATTAGGGTGAATCCTCACCTAATGGCTGGATGGAATTCAGTTAATACGACAAGGACTGCCATGATTGTTGCCACTGCATGATGCACTCATGTGATGCCGTGCTTTACAACTGCATGCAGGGAGCAAGCCAGGAATGGCTTGAATTAGGGTGAATCCTCACCTAATGGCTGGATAGAATTCAGTTAATATGACAAGGACTGCCATGATTGTTGCCACTGCATGATGCACTCATGTGATGCCGTGCTTTACAACTGCATGAAGGGAGCAAGCCAGGAATGGCTTGAATTAGGGTGAATCCTCACCTAATGGCTGGATAGAATTCAGTTAATACGACAAGGACTGCCATGATTGTTGCCACTGCATGATGCACTCATGGGATGCCGTGCTTTACAACTGCATAACTTAATTCTGGTCCCAATTACCATCATCAACCAAGGAATACCTGTATTTATAAAACTTGGAAGCCTGGACTGACTGAGTTCTGTTAAGCAATTAGGGAATAGGAATGGCATTTTATTTGTAATGTTTTTTTAATCTGTGTAATTTGATATGTTTTCTCAAGTTTTTATATTTAGCCCTTTTTATATAGTTGTACATTATTAGTGCAGTTAACCATTACAAGTCTCATGAAATAAATCAGCACACCTATTCTGTGTTTGAATATGCCTTGCATTAAAATGCAACTTTTATTTTACTGCTCATAAAGCAACCCAGGATAATGGATATTCCAATGAGGAAACTGTCGGTGAAGAAGAAGACAGCTTCAGTTGTAAATAATGGTTTAGGCAAGAAAGCTGCCAGCAGCACCCCAGCTCACTCGACCTGTGACTGTTACGCAAAAGATAGCGTCTGCACCATTTGTCTTTCAAGGTAATTCATTACGGATGTAGTAAAAGTATTCACTCTGTTGCCAAGCAGCATTAAAAGTATAGATAAATGAGGAGTTAGCAAGCACATGCTACATTTAGAACCTTGAAATGTAACAGTAAAAAAAAATATCAAACACTTTGTTCGCCCACATGATTTTATAATGGCGTACACTTTCAGTACAAGAATTCTCAACACCAACAAAGACTTGAGCCCTTTCCAGTTTCCATTTTAGCGGTGTCAGTTTGGGAGGATATCAGATATAGAATGCATAGAAAAGTAGATTTATTATCTACTTGTTACTCCTTCCTATATAAACTGATTTAGTCAGTATCAGTTAGATCAGTGGTTCTCAACCTGTAGGTCGGGACCCCATTTGGGGTCGAACGACCATTTCACGGGGGTCGCCAAACCACGCTGTCCGCCATTTTTTTCCCTTTTCCTTAGCTGTCCTACTCCTTCTTATTGGTGGCCACACCCATTTGGCCACACCCCTGGGGGTCACCACAACACGGGGAACTGTATTATGGGGTCACGGCATTAGAAAGGTTGAGAACCACTGAGTTAGATAGTTCATACAAGTATCAAAACAACAATTGTAGACATAGAGCAGTAGAAAAAAAAATAGCACCCAAGTTCTATAGGATAAGTTTAAATAGATAGGTTCTCTAGAACCATAATGATATAACTACAAGACAAATCCTTTGCAATTCTACTCATGAGTACTGTGTAAAGAAACGTAAGCTGTATCTCTGTGTATATATTCCCAGTAACAGGAGAAGTAATTATATGGTTTAATTTTAAAAATGTTGTAGCTAGAGAGCAAGATATTAGAACAACTTTCCCTAACATGGTATCCTCTGGGGGTGATTGGTTCAGTTTTTGGGCTTCCAAGTTAGCATTTGACTGTGTTGGCAGAGAATTCTGGAATTGCAATCGCAGCATGCTATTTATCTTGCTAGACATCCTTTAATATCACCATATAGAAGTACATCCAAGATCAGTCCTGCATAGTATACGACAGTGATGGCGAACCTTTTAGAGACTGAGTGCCCAAAACCCGTCATGCCCCTGCTCTGCCCCCACCCACCCACCCACAGGGAGACCTACCGCCTCCACGGCCCGCCGCAACAGATGGCCCAGGTGGCCCTACAGTGCCATGGCAGCCATGCCCTCTGCCCGCACCCCGCAGCATCATCTGCGTGCAGTGGGGCTCAAGGGCTGAGTCTTGTCCCCACTGCCCGGCTGCCATGTCCTTGGCTGTGCTGCTTCACGTGGGCTGCGCCTGGGGGCGACTCTCTGGGGGGGCTGCTGGTGAGAAGGCCACAGGGGGAGGAGGGGCTGGGGCGATGGTGTGCGTGTCCACGGAGAGGGCTCTGAGTGCCGCCTCTGGCATGCATGGCATAGGTTTGCCACCACTGGTATACAGGTAGCATGTGGCCCACCAAGCAGCCTTGTGTGGCCTGCAGACCTTTTTTTTTTTTTTTTTTGAAAAAATGTAAACTTACAGCAATCAGAAAACAAATGCTGCCAAGCTCACCAGCAGCTCCAGCATTTCCACTGTTCCCTAAGACACACAATCATCACTCCAATAATTTATTTGTGGCCCATGAGGATTTTTAATGTATCCATATGGCCCTTTGCCCTCAATGAGTAGAGCAGGCCTGATCTAGAAAGTACTTTGGTTGTGGAATGTTCAAATTGTATGCTATTTGCTAAATTGTTTTTTTTTTTTTCTATTTAACCCCAAGACGTCAGCAGGTTGCCCCAAGGGCAGGCACTCCTGGATTCAGAGCACCAGAAGTATTAACAAAGTGCCCTAATCAAACTACAGGTACAATAAATCAAACTTACACCAGCTACTAAATCCAGTAAACTACTAAAACTATTAAAATGTTCTTTTATTAAAACTGGTTAGCTAAAATAAGAACCTCAGATAGAAACTTATCTTTATCTGAAATATTTACTATGATGTTTCTATTTTAAACAAAGGAGAACAAGTAGAACATTCAAATGATTTTTAGTTTTGTGCTATTTTTTTTTAAAGCCCTTGTTCTGAATATGTAATATCCATTAGCATGCTGTCTTAGAGCAAGCGTAATTAACATAATATTCTTGCAGGCAGATTTTTTTAAAAGTTTCAAACTGACAAAAAATATTTAATAAAGCTGTTAGATGTAGAATTTAAGCGTTTTGGAAATATGAATACTACTTCCACCTGTCCCTCAGAAAACCATCCAGATTGATGCTGTTTCAGTCAGTGTATCTGAATTCTACAAGATTATTTTTTTAAAAAAACTTTTCTGCTGCTGAAATAATAATATCTTGATATCTTTTAGGATCAATACTTTTAGGATATACTGCAATGGGACAGATAGTGAGGAGCCCAAGTTTCCTCTTGAAAAAAAAAAAGTCATGTAAATTCGGGCTTATCAGAAACATTTTGCTGTGATACAATTTTGAACTAATTCCTTCACTGAACTTTCCACAATGGCTGATTTTACCCTTTTCATAAATTGCATCGAGTATTTACAGTATAAGGTGTTATTGCAGATCCTTCGTCCTTGCTTGGTTCTTCCTGAAGTTCATTTGGGAAAGATTATAAAATATGAAAAGCCAAAGAAAGAACAGCAGTCTCATGTTGAAATATATAAAATAATGCTTTCTATAATGTGCTTTGACTTCTCAGATTTTTTTTTGTTAATGCTGGGAATGAATTGGAATAACTAATCATTGTTACTAAAGTCTTGTTTCTAATTACAGCGATTGACATGTGGTCTGCAGGCATTATATTTCTTTCTCTGCTGAGTGGTCGGTATCCATTTTACAAGGCCAGCGATGATTTAACAGCTTTGGCACAGATCATGACTATTCGTGGCTCCAGAGAAACCATTCAAGCTGCTAAAACATTTGGTACGCAGATTTTGTCATCCTTTTTTGAACCTGTTTGTAACTGATGTTATGATTATTGGTCTGCATGTAGATAATTAGGATTATGTTCATGGATTTCTACATAATTTCAGATAAAACAGCATTGGAATTCATTCATCTAAAGGTCAGGACCAAATTCCTTAAATCATGTCCGACTTCTTAAATAATTCCATAGAAAACAAACATACAAATCAAATCAGAGGCATCCAGTTTGTGAAGTAAAAAAGGCAGCAAGCCAACATGTGGCTAATTAATTCTAATCAATGTTACTGGCTCTGAATCACCCCTCCTCGGATCTGCATTCCTCTTTCATCCCCGTTCTCTTTTGCCAGAATTGTAACCAGACCTCTTTTTTGCTGCATTTCTCAATAGTAGTACAGGTAGACCTCAACTTAACGTCCACAACTGAGCCCAAAATTTCTGTTGCTCAGTGAAGCATTTGTTAAGTGAATTTTGCCCCAGTTGACAATCTTTCTTGCCCGCAGTTGTTAGGGTGAATGACTGCAGTTGTTAAGTTAGTAACATGTTAAGTGAATCTGGCTTCCCCATTGACTTTGCTTGTCAGAAGGTCACAAAACGGGGATCACATAACCCCCCAGGACACTGCAACCGTCATTAATATGAGTCAGTTGCCAAGCCTCCGAAATTTGATCAGCTGACCATGGGGGAATGCTGCAATGGTCATAAGTGTGGGAAATAGTCATAAATCACTTTTTTCCGTGCCGTTGTAACTTTGAATGAACTGTTGTAAGTCGAGGACTACCTGTACTCTCCCAAAAGAGACTGCCAGCAGAAAGGCTTCAACTCCAGAAGAAGGAGCAGATAAGGGGGGAGACCCAGGCGACACAGTATTGAATAACTGGAGGTTGTATAAATGTTTATAGAAATATATACCGAGAAGGTTAGATAAATAGAAATATTAATCTTATTGTATATAATACAGATAGGGAAATTTGGAGAGAGGAGTTGCTCGGACATTACCCCTGAATTGTATCTGAAGAGGGATGAGAGGGAAGAAAGGAGAGGAGAGAGAAAAGAGTAAAGGAGGGGAGAAGGAAGTAGGAAGGTTGGAGGAGAAGAGGAAAGGGGAGGAGAGTGGTGAAGGAGAGGAGAGGAAGAAGAGGGAAGTAGGGGAAGAGAAGAAAGGGAGAAAGAAGGTAAAGAAGAAGAAGTGTGGATACGGTGAAAGGGGAAATGGGCGAGCAACACCAAAAGTTATGTGTATGTATTTATTTCATTTTGTTAAAAGTATCTGTATGTGAGTGTGGAGGGAATGTATGTTAATATCTGATAAGTATTACAGTATATGTATGGGGGAGAGTTTGGAAAAATAAAAAATTATTAAAAAAAAAATCAGAAAAAAAAAGAAGGCTTCAACTCCCAGGATGGCTCCACCTGGATGACATTCCTCACTTTCCATTTCTATCTACAGCGTTTAGTTCTAGTTATCGGATGATCATCCAGAGTGATTTGTGCAAAATATTTTGCCCTAAACATCACGATGGGGAAAAAATGTTTCTAAATCTGTCAACAAAATCCCATTAAGGCAGAATCAGCAATTCAGTAAACATAGTTATATATTTGGCATTACAGTGAAAAGTAAAACAGATTAAAATGAGAGCCACAGTGTCAGTGCTGCTTTTGCTGCACTCGGAAGAGCCACAGATATTCAGTTTAAATACACTTCAGATACCTGGGGATAACAAATTTTCACCAAGTTTAAAGGTTCACAGATTCCCCCACATCCATCAGAGCCACAGCAAAAAGTACAGACTCACTGGTGATGGTGTCAGTTAAGTCTTTGTTTATATGTCTCGGGTATTACCGTAAATGCCGGTGTACAAGGCGACCCGGCGTATAAGACGACCCCCGTCTTTATAGCCGGGCCGCATTCCTAGAACGTCGTCTTATACGCCGGAAACTACCAGTATTTCCGGCGTATAAGACGACTCGGCGTATAAGACGACCCCCGTCTTTGGCGCCGATTTCAGCGCTCGCGGAAGTTGCCTTATACGCCGGCATTTACGGTATGTCTTGTGGTGTCTTCTGCATCTCTTAATATTAGAGCTGCTCAGCAGATAACGGTCAAACAGCCTCTTCCTTCATAGGGTAGTGCAAAATAGCTCAAAGATATTTTGCGCTTGAAACAGCTGATTTGACAATTCCATACCGAGAACAAAACTTGCATGTCTGGCTTGTAAGTCAGGTACAGAATAAAACAGGCTGCTTTGTTTAGGCTGCGAAAGGCAATACGTTCACTTGTAGCAACACAGTTTCAAGGGCTTCCAGTTGATGAGGTGAGTGTAGCCATGAACTGCATAGTTGAGGTCTGGCTAAGTTGACTCTTGGCTGCTGTATCTTCATAGTCACGCACAGTGGGACCAATATACACAGGGCAATCAACCCAGAATTTGACAGTTTCACTTATTTTTTCCAGAAATACATGTGATCATGTGGGATGTGTTCCTTCTCTCTCCCTCTTTTTCTCCCTCCCTCTCCCTCTCGATGAGGATGTATAGAGAGACTGGCTCAGTTTGGGGCAATACACTTGCGCTATTGGCTATATACCTATAGCTGTGTATCTAATAACTGCCAATGAATTCAGTAAGAATTGTCTTAGCAATTTTTGCTGTTCTGCATGCTTGCTGCTAATTTTTATAGCCTCGCGGTCCTATACAAAATGTTTAACTCTGTACAATGTACATAGTCTATGTTGTAGTGTTAGACCACGTTGCAGAAAACAGCTCTGCATTCTGAAAAACATTCTAACAAGTGCTTTTCATTTAGGTAAATCAATCCTGTGTAGCAAAGAAATCCCAGCACAGGATTTAAAGAAACTCTGTGAAAGGCTGAGAGGGAAAACTACCAGCTTTGACAATTCAGCAGGTGATGTACAAATCAACCCTTCTCAGGAATTTGCTTTACAAGTTGGAATAGGCAACGCTTCAGATTCCCCCCTTCAGACATCCAAAAAGCACGTGCAATATCAAAAACAAAGCGGTCATGAAGATGGTGCTAAAGAAAAAAAAACTATACAGAAACCGGCTGAACCCAAAGGATGGGACAGAGTTCCTAATAGCGCCTATGATCTCCTTGATAAACTATTGGACTTAAATCCTGCTACAAGAATTACTGCAAAGGATGCTTTGCTGCATCCTTTTTTCAGAAACATGAAGCAATAAAAAGACTTTTGACACTGTATTGTGTGTGTGTTAAAGTACTATTAGAGTCGGTCACTTTTTAAAGGAAACCAACAATCCAAGAAACATTATTTACCGTGCAGTGTTGGTCTAGGTGCAATTGAAGTAGTAAATATACTTCTGCTTTTCGGACAGGTTTTTAAACAATTTCAAAGTGCATTTGATTATTTCACCATTATGGTGTATTCAGAAATGGCAACATGCAATCTATATAATGGGATTGAAATCTGAGGAGGGTAGCTTTCTGCTGCGTCCTTGGGTTTTAGCAATCCTGTTATATTATGCAGCTTCCTAATATTTGGTTAAATTTGGCTGGACAGATATGGTAAATGAATTATTCTGGTAGGCAATGAATTAAATGTTGATATATTTTTAATTTCACAGATCTGGGCGGGATTGATTTTTGTGATTTGTAACTTCTGCTAGTTGTTGACAAATGCTTAACGTTTGTTTCTAGCAGAAGAAAAGTAACCTTCATTTTAGATGTAATGTAAGATACATGTAAATGTAGCTCCTTTGACAGAATTGTTGGTGGGGAATTCTGACAGTTTAATCTTAATATGATAAAGGATGTATATTGTTAAAAGCTAACTTAAGGCATTGCTCAAGAATTTATATTTTATGACTAGGAAAGAGTATTGAGAACACTGACTCTGAGGACCTGGAACTTTTTCTTCTTAAGAGCATATGATATCATTTACTTTCTTTTTCATATACCTTTGGAACTGTTATCTTTTCATTGTATAAACTGTATAATATTATTTTCTTGTAAAAACAATGTACAGACACAGCATTAGCTTATTGATTAATATGTACAACTGTATTATAATTTTGTGATGAATTTATTAGAATGAACGAAATGGAATATTTTTTTAATAAAAAAATAAAAGCCATTATATAAAACATAACAAATGATGTCTGCAGACAAAAGATAGTATGTTTGTAATAAAAGCAATCCGTACACATTACAAACATATCACAGTCAAAGGGCTGCCTTGGTTCTTGGAACCAATTTTCCAAGACTATAATAAGCTTACAAGGTAGACATATTTTAGAATGAAATGATATCCCTTCTCAGTTAAAAAAATATATGTAAGATTGGAATGAAGGTTCAGTTATCTTGTCTTTTATACAAAAATGAGTTTTCTAGACATAAGTCTAGGCTCTACTAATTAAGAATACATCTCTTGACACCTATGGAGAAGAGTAATCGGCATTAGAAGCATTCTTCACTCAAGTAACCATGACAAAACTAGAGTCAAATCTTACTGCAATGTGAAGTGAAGAGGCATGCATATGCTTATCTTTTTTTTTTTAAGGACTGCTTTCCCAAGATCTGTGTTCGAATAAAGCTAGGTTAGTTTTCTTAGATTTGTGTTGACTTTCTGGTATAGAATGAAAAACGGCGCCGCACAGCAAAAACGGAGCGGGCTAGTGAGTGTCACTTGGGTGCTAGCACCGCCCTGTTTGTGTCACATGCTTGCAGCCCCGTTTGTGCGTGTAAAATGCTTCCCCCTCCCTTTCCCCCCAGTCCACCAACGGAGAAAGGTTGGAGACCTCTGTTCTAGTCCCTGCCAGCTGTTACATTTTGGCTAGTGGGATCTGTAGCATGCCCATTCTACTAGATCTGGTTGGAAAAAGGCAAGTCTCAGGTATGCTGGTCCCAACCTCTGTAGGGCTTTAAATGTAATCACCAGCACCTTGAATTGTACCCGGAAACACGCTGATAACCAGTGATCACACAGAAGTGTCATTACGCGTGCCATCTATCTGGCACCATTTACTACCCCCACAGCCACGTTCTGCCCCAGATGAAGTTTCCAAATGATCCTCTGGGGCAGTCCCATGTAGAGTAGTCTAAACAGATTACGAAGGCATAAGCTAACGTGAGCAGGGCTTCCCAGTCCAGGTCAGGATGCAGCTGGTGCAGCCTCTGAAGGTATACAAAGACCTAGCCACAGCTGCCACTTGCTTGCTACTCAAGCAGAAGCTGCAAATCCAGGAGGACGCCCAGATTGCACACCAGGTCTCTCTAGAGTATGCAACTCCATCCAGAACCAAAGATGGAAGAACCTTGTCTGTTTCTGGAGTGTCCAAATACCCACAGCCACTCTGTTTTGCTTGGGGTGAGTCAGAGTTCATTTTGTCCCATCCCGCCCCCACATCCCCCAGACACTGGGACAGGACAGCCACAGCATCACTCAAAGGGCCTGAGATAGAGATATCTTCCCCCAAACTGACGGATCACCTCACCCAGCGACTTTATGTAAATGTTCAATAGGAAGAAAGAACTCTGAGGCATCAATTGCACAAAATAGAAGCTGTGGGCTGGATTTCTCTCCCTCCAGTCAGTGGACTGGAACCAGCCCCGGAGGAAGGAGGAGAACCAGCACAATTCCCGAAGCCGGTCCAGAAGGATACAGTGATCAACGGTTCCGTGTTCAGGCAGTAGCAGGCAAATTAATAATTAAAGTAAAGCTTCCTTCAAGTTGAGCTCAGCTCTTGATTATGTCATGGACATACTGATGCCACTTTCTTGGTAGAAATATGTCGTTGCCTTCTTCCAGATTATTTTGACTTGCCAATCAAACCTATAGTCCTGAAGTCTCCAGCTATGAAAGCCAAATCCTGCCTAATTTCTGCCCAAAGTCAGGTAATCTACTTGCTGAGCCCAATAACTATAGTACTAGTACATTAACTAGTAAGAGACCGATAGAGTCAGAGAATCTTTGGCATAGTTCTGTCAGCATCTTCATTTGTCATCTTGCCCTAGTGAGATCTTTCAATGTATCTTCATGAAAATAGTTATAATCCTAAAACTACAACTTCGGTGTCTGATGCAACAATGATGGATCAGCTAGGGAGACCCTGCTCCAGGGTCATTCTTAGTCACAGAAATTGATTGGGTCACTTAGCTTAGCCTACCACTCAGCGCTGTGATAAAATGAAGCATTTCTGTGTAAGCTGCCTTGGGGTCTTAGAGGAAAGACAAGAAAATAATTCTAACAAATAGTTGTATGCAATTGGTATTAATAAATTCATAGGCTGCCAGAGAGCTCTTATATGTGTGTGCGTGTGTGTGTGTGTGTGTGTGTGTGTGCGTGTGTGTGTGAATAAGCGCTATCAGCCGTAACACTCTTTGCAACACTTTCTGTTAAATTTAGAATCAAGTCTGCACCATCCTCCTTTCTATATAAAGTCAGCTACAGAATAAATAATGATACATAGCGGCAAAATAATTCGTGAATCAAGATCCTTAGAGTGAAGTGATGGCATTTCTTTCATTTTTTGCAGCTTTTTGGCATCAGCTCTTAGGGATAAATGTTTGCAGATGTCAGAATATTGATTGCAGAAAATCTTGAAACCCACAAATCCCTGGGGCCTAGGTCTTAGTAATTTCTGCTGTTTATGTAATTTCAGCACAGCACGTCACCGAGAAGTTATTTATCTAAAAGAACTGTGGCCAAATTTGGCAGGCAAAGCTGCTGCAATGCTTATGAAGGTACTGCTTCCTCCAGCGTTCCTTTGTGCTATGGTAATCACAAAATGTTAGCTAATATCCATTTTTTCTCTCTCAGACTTAAGGCCTAGAACAGGTGAGTGGAATGGCCCTTTTCTTTTGACAAAAGTAGTACCAGTTCAGCTGGCCAAATGTTCAGCAATGCAGTCTTTAATTTAGTTTTTTAACTATCAATGGAAGAGAATATTTATATGTTAGGGTTGAACTGTGGGTCCTTGGTGGTCTCTGAGCTTGGTGGTTTTCTTGCAGACGTTTTGTTACCCAAATAGATAGCAACATCAGTGCTAGAAAGGAACAGGGTTTGCTCTCTTTATATGCAAGTGGCTTGCCCTGTCATTGTTGGCTTATTTATCTGAGTCAGTAGTTCCTTGACTGAGCAGAGATTAACACCAAGATTAACATTAGACCAACAATCAAGAAGTAAACAATACCTCAATCAAGGAACTACCAATTCAGACAAAGAAACTTATAGTAAACAAAAGCCTAATCATAAGAACACTCCCACCAACACTGATAGGGAAAACACTAGTATATAAAAGGAGCAAACCATACTTCCTTCTAGTATTGATGATGATACCTAGTGGGGTAATGAAATATCTGCAAAACAACCAAGCTCAGAGAGCACCAAGGACTCCACAGTTTTAGCTATTTTAAACATCAGGATTCCTAATTTAAAAAATTAAGTCCTTTTTCATGTGTTCTAAACAAAACGTAGAATTTGTCATATACAGTAAAGATATGAACTGGTTTAACTTTTCCTGGCTCTTCCTAGAGCACCAAACCAAATATTCTTCAGGTCTATTTACACATTCTCCTGAAATATATTCATATCACATGCTGTATTTCAGCTACAGATGCCATTTATTTTTGCCACTTCATATTGTATTGGTTTGCAGTCAGATACTGGAGTCCTTAATTTGGGATACAAATCAAATTTATAGCAGTACTTGGGGTCAGGAACTTAAATGCAGATGTGTGTATTGATGGACATGTGTTTGTCATATGGGATCCTATAAAGCAGTGGTTCTCAACCTGTGGGTTGGGACCTCATTTGGGTCGAACGACCATTTCACGGGGGTCGCCAAACAATGCAGTCTGCCATTTTTCCCCCCTTTTCCTTAGCTGTGCTACTCCCTTTTATTCTATTGGCTTTTGAAAGCCAATAGAATAGATTCTCTTGAATACAGTCTAATTCTATTGGCTTTCACAAGCCAATAGGAATTGTCCAGGCTGTCTCTGTCCTGCTGAGCCTGTCAAAAGTCCCATTCTGCAAACGGTGCTGCACCAGTTGAGTAGTCCTCGACTTACGACCGGTTGGGGGTCTTGGTATTAAAAAGGTTGAGAACCACTGCTATAAAGTCTATGTCCCTGTAGGTTGCCTGGGTCATCATATTTTTAACTCAGAGGAGCTGCCATAAGAATTCTATGGAGCAGTTAAAGAGGAAAATCTAGGACAAAAAAAAATGAGAGGGGAATGAATAAAAAGTAATAGGCACAGGACAGCATAAAGAAGAGAACTGCATTCAAGCACCTTCTCACAGTGCTCATCCTGCAACAGGTTTGAGGTCAGAATGTGCCTGAATGAAAAGAGTTTGTCTCCCAACGAAGGTATATAAGAGCAGAGATTAAATGCTCAGCGGTGAGTATCTGATTTAATGGCTTCCGTCATTTACGTATTTATATTGTCTTGCAAATTATTATAAAGCATGTATTATCTGAATTGTTCATGTTAAAGCTTTCCTGCTTTTCTGCTTTTTATTAAATACATTTTGACTGCAAATATTTTGTCTTTCAAGATTGCTTTATTTAATTGTCTACGTTACATAGGTTTTGCTGTCTGAGATTCTGGACTAATTCGATTTTCACAGAGCTTCAGGGTTGCTCTGACTCTCTGACATTTATTCAGCTTGGAGAAAAAGGCATTGAACCTCAGACCACCTCGCCTCTCAGTTCAATATTGGATTTCACTAGTCCCTCCAAAAGCCCATTTGGACTTGAAGCAGTGCATTTTTGATGCTGTGTTTCACACTGACCAGATCCTGCCATTACTTAGATGAACTTTCTCCCCCAGCAAATTACCTAACAAGCATTTGGAGTGTGTTAGGCTGAAAAGCTTTATAGTTTCTGTTTTGCTGCAAAGTAAATTAATCCAGGAATATGAATTAAATAAATAGATAAATGAATGAATGAATGAATGAATAAGCCCTTTTCCAGTAAAAGAGACAAATAGCTGTGGCAAAATGGGCAGGTCAAGCATTATGGAAGTTTTGTAACATACAATACCGACCTTGTCTACAATCACTTTAAAATGTTGAAGATGCCCCAGTGCATCATGTAACCCAGACTTCCATCTGGAAAATGGAGGATTGGCTGCTGGAGATGGAGAGTTGTTCCTTATTAATCCTGAGTTAGCCCACTGTCTGTTTCAAAAGTGAACCAGCATAACAAAAAAATGGCACTTTTAAGAGTGCATCTAAGAAGTTTGAACTTCTACTTTCAGGGCCCTGCAATCCTGGGTTACAGCTCCAGAACTGTGGATTGGTGCCAGCCCTGGATCTGATGCAGTCATTCCCTCTCTCTTTTGATGTTTGGTTGCTTTTTTCACTCTATACTTCCACCTCAACCTTTTTTGGATTGCATTTCCTAGTTTGGAAAAAAATCTTCTGGTGGTCGTTTTTTCCCCAAAAGCCTAATTTTCTCTCCAAACACTTGCTAACTATGGGGATCGTGCATTTTTCTTTGAAACATTTTTTATGACTATTCCTGCTTGAGATTTTGTAATTCTGTCTCCTTTGGGGTATTTTGTTTGTAAAACTGCTTTGGGCTCAAATCTTGGAATGGTTTCAAACCACAGGTCTTAAGAATATCCCTGGCTGTTCTAACTCTTGGAAAGTTTGAAATAGCAAGTGTAGTCCTGTGTAATTCGGGGATGAAACATACCATTTTTATGTGTTATAAAAGAGCACAACAAAAGAACTCTAAAATTCCCTAATATTTGGGAACATAACCTGGCACCTTTTGATATTTAATGTCTTTGGCCAATTCTCATTGTAGAGTTCAATTTGTTTGAGTCTTACTAAAATGCAGGAATTTAGAGAACTATCCAAAGAGGTACTACTTCTTCTTTCTTACATACACATATTCTCTTTTTGGAATATGGCTCATAATTATAATTTTTGTGCTGTATGTTGAAATGGAAGTAAAATTACAAAAGAGGTTAGGATGAGGAGCAGTGAAAAAGCAGAAGAAATTGATTTGCTCAAGTAAAAGACTAATAACAATGTGTTTACATTGGTTTTATTACACTCTATTACAATATATCCACAGTCTATGTTATCCAGCCTCTGCAAAAGATTAGGCTGAAAGTGAATAACATTCAAAGACCACCCAGTAGATTTCATGGCTTAACGAAGGAAGAGGAGCAACATAAACAATTAAAGACTGTCTTACAATACAACAATATATCATTTTATCTATTTTGCTGGGCAGGAAAATTAAGGTGTGGAAAAAGGGAAACACTCAATAGATCCTCTGCTGGCAATTATTATTCATTTTAAACAATAGGATGGTCTTTTATTGTATCCATTTCTTATTTTTCCACTTTCTTTGTTTGGCCCTTGCTTCATTCTTTCCAATCACTGTAGCTGTCCTCCTCATATGAAACTTCCTCACTGCTTTTTGTCTGTCTCTTCCAGGCTGGACTTATTGACTCAGGCTTAAGTTCTGAATTCTCAAGTCAGAATATCAGAATAATAATAATAATCAATGCTTTTTTTCTAAAAAAAAAAAAAAAAAAAGGTGCCGGAACTCACACACGTCATACAATCCGCCTTACCTACCCTACAAGGTTCCATCCAAAAAAGGTGCCGGAACTCCATTCTGGGCGTTCTATGAGAAAAAAAGCCCTGATAATAATAATAAAAAAGAATGGATTTAGGACCTTTTTCCAAGTACAAAAGGTAAGCATGTGAGAAATATAGAGAGAAAGAGAAAGGAAGAGCACTGGTTTAGGGCCTGCAGAATAAATCCATTTATTCTGAAGTAAGCTCTACTGAGTTTACTGGGTTTATTTCCCCATAAATTTGCATCAAATTGTAGCCTCAAAAGACGTGTTTCTTCCTTATTTCTTCCACCAACCTGCCTGGCTTTAAAGAAGTAATTGCATACTGGAGGGGATACGTTTTAAAAAAAATCCCTTTGGGCCTACATCATAAAAACCGTTAAGAAATCCAGTATTTTGATGCTTCTAAAATCCCAGATTCTCAGCTTTCATTAAAGGAAATGAGGTTCTGAGGTAGCCCTATGTCAAAACAAACCCTGTCATGATTCCTATCATTTCTCTCAGGTTTTGAAAGAGTTTTCATTTAGCCCACGTTGAAAGAGAATAAAAATTGACAAACTGAACTGACGCTCCACCGCAAGCCTAAGAGACAAGAGTATATTCTTTCCCCAACTACGTTTTTCATTTCCAGAAGAAACAGAGCTGCAGGGAAGTCTTTGACCATCAGAAGCAGAGGCTGATCATTCTAAAAGCCTTTTAAGCAACCACCCATTCCTTTTTTCGTTCCTTTCCCCTACTAGATTTACATGATGAAAACAACCACTCCTTGTCACTTGGTTTTTCAGCTTGCCAAATCAAGAGCTGCTTTCAGATTTTGGGATTTCTTTTGCAAACTATCCAGTAGTTGGGAAGGTGTGACCCATAATTTGGGAAGGCAGAAATTTGTTTCACCAACATTTTGTTCATTAATTCTGGCCAAGGAATCAGCAAGGATTTTTTTCAGAGTAAAACAGAAGCCAATGAACCAGGATATCTATTTGTATTGGTGAGAATGTTAAGTCTTTTATCTCAAGCACAGCAGTTTCCAAAAATCTAGGATCTTAGAATATACAAGCCTACTCTGCTCTCTCTCCATCTTTCATCCATCCATCTAGTTTTAAGCAGTATTTCAACCTTAGATATGAATTCTGCAAAGGCATCCTAATGAAAACTACAAAGGAACCAAAAGCAAAGTAGTATTTTTTAAAAATTACAATGGTGTTTGTAGAAGTAAGGAAGAAGAAGGATTATAAAGTTAGAATTTACAAAAAGGTAAGGGAGAATTGGTAGAAGAAACTATCTCTTCTTTTTCCCAGAATGATTCAGCTCCACTTTTTCTCATGTTAAAGTAGGATGGTCATTTGAAACTGCTAACTAGTCTTAAAATTGGTATTTTGGAAAGTGTTCCAATGGAGTTCAATGGGACCTATTCCTCTCTAAGTATGGGGCAATAAGATACTAAATTTAGAATTCAGTTCTAGGACACTTTCCTGAGTAAACAAGTCAAATATGTTAGGATATTCCAGCAAAGGTCTATTCAGAATTAATGTTTCTCCTAAAAAAGGAGAACCAATTGTTTTTAGTCCAGCAACGTTTGATTGTATGTAGATAGGAAAATGTTTGAACTAAAATATATAAATAAAATAAAACAATAAAATAAAATACCCTCAGATTCACAGTTGTCATTAAAACAAACAGATTAACCAGGGTGTGAGAGAAGCAGCTCATTTGGAGACCATGTAGGTGGGAGAGCCCAGTGAATAAAAATGAATGCACTTTACAATGGAAGAGGAAAGAAAGACAAGGTAGTCAGTTGCACATCTTTCTTTTGTAGCATTTGTCCTTTGCCCAATTCCTTTGAAATGTTTGACAATCCTGTGGAAGAGAGAGCTTTGAGTTAGTCTCTGACACTGTGCTGAGGCTAGGTTGAAAGTTCACTCAATTCAGTCCTGGGTGTCAAACAAGGTGCTACAGGGCAACCTGGAACAGGCAGAAATTCAACTGCCACTGTGCAGGAAGTCTTCCAGCTGAATGCTTGACAACTTCCAATCCAAATTGTAATACTGGAATGGGTCTTATGAACTTGTATAATATGGGTTGAGAGCTCAGGGATATTAAGAGGATTCAAGGGAGAAAGTGTGGAATAGGGAACAAATCATGGGCCTTAACTCACACTAATATAACGAAGTTACTATTATGCTCCTTATTTCAACCCCCATTTGGATCTTTTGTTTTGTCAGAAGAACCTGATACCCCACCCCCACCCCAGATTTAAGCATATTCTACTAACCAGCAGTTCCTGATTAAATTCATTCAGCTGCATATACTACAGTGGTTTTTCAAGTCAAAAATCCATGAATCTACATGTGGAGGAATGCATTCAGATTTCCAATTGGTGTTGTTCCAATCATGTGGTAGTGGTGGCCTTGATGAATTTATCCTTGATGCAGATGCCATAGTACTCCCTCCCACAGTATATGCCACATATTATTGTAACTGTGGAGGAGAAATACCAACATTTCCCATTAGTTTCGACAGTAATGTAGTCCCATTAGTTTCTACAAATACATTTCTCTGATTGTGTAGGGAGAGACATTTAGAGAGGACTTGGACCAAAGACTAGGCAGTTGTGGAAGGAAAAATACAGATGCTGGAAGCCTGGGATGAATTTTATTACATAAATCTGATCATTTTGCTTTCATTGGCCAAGGGCCATAATAGTAGCTTGAAGAAACGACAGAGAAAGAGTAAATGGACAGGACTTTTCCAAGTTAAGTAGTGACTGGTCATTGTGCCAGAAAGTGCTGTCCTTATTTAAGTGAACAATTGTACCTTGGATGCAGGAGGCTACAGGTCAAGCCAACATATTGTTCTCTGCATCACCTCTGCAATGCACTGACATCATCTCAAGATGCTTATGAAGCAAAACAATCTAAGAAATAAAATAAGATAAAATGAATACCGGTCTTGCTAAATGATAATATATAGTTGTTGCATATTTCTACCTACCACTTATTAGGTTTGTAAACCAAATCTTATTTCCACGGGTGCAACATTATGTCCTTGAAGTTAATACTTGCTAATTTCCTTCCATGAGAATTGGCAAGACGAGCAATTGCTTTGCAATACAGTCCAGTAGTTAATTTCATTACTGACTGAGGTTGAACAGTAAAAATTAACTTGCCAGACAGATCAAAGTCACATGCGCAGGGTTATTTCTGCTTCTCTTCAAAACTATAAGTGGTATATTTTGATTATCATAAACTTTAAAATTTAGCAGCATATTCACAAGGAACCAGAAATATATGCATTTGTAAAGAATTTCTCTTGGAAGTAAACAACATAAACACTTTAATGTTATTTTATGGACTCCTTGGTGCCCCAAGGACTCTACAGTTCAGTCCTAAGCAACATATATTACCTTCTCTGAGAACTCTAATTTTTCCAATCAAGAGTACATTGATCTCTGGGGGGGGGGGAAATCACACATCCCTCTTTTGATTTTCTGAATGTTTGTAAATCTTGCTCCTGAACACTTTCAGAACTTCAAATTTATTATTATTTTTTACTAACTCTATTTTATGCCACTCTATTTCTCAAGAGCTTCTGATAGTGCAACTGATCAAGTCAGCATATAACTATAAAGTGTGGGGTCTTTCTTCCTTTATTTCAACCAGCTGAATTTAATCCATCCAATTAAAAGAATAGCTAGGAACAATTATGGAACTACCCTTATTAATCATAACTTACATCAGTGATGGCAAACCTTTTAGAGACCGAGTGTCCAAAAACCGCCCTCGCCCCACCCGCAGGGTCACCCACCGCCTTCACGGCCCACCAGAGCAGATCGCCCAGGCAGCCCAGCAGAGCCAAGGTGGCCACGCCCTCTGCCTGTGCCCCGCCTCATCTGCGCATGATGGGATGCAAGGGTGGAGTCTTGTCCCTGCTGTCCGGCTGCCATGTCCTTGGCTGCACTGCTCTGCAATTCTCCTCTGGGGGGCTGCTTGGTGAGGGGGCCGCAGGGGGAGGCGGGACTGGGGCAACGGCGTGTGTGCCCATAGAGAGGGCTCTGAGTGTCGCCTCAGGCACGCGTGCCATAGGTTCACCACCACTGACCTACATAAATCTCAGAAAGATTGACATGGTCGTCACAGTGACATTCTCCCCTCACAAAGGCACAGGTAGTCCTCAACTTACAGCAGTTCATTTAGTGACTGTTTGAAGTTACAGTGGCACTGAAAAAGTGACTTATGGCCACTGTTCACACTTAACGACTGCTGTGGCATCCCCATAGACATGTGATATCAAAATTTAGACATGTGACTACTGGCTGGCATTTATGACGGTTACAGTATCCTGGGGTGATCCCCTTTTGTGACTAGCAAGGTCAATGGGGAAGCCAGATTCACTTAACAAACGTGTTACTAATTTAATTTAATTTAACTGCAGTGATTCACTTAACAACTGTGGCAAGAAAGGTGGTAAAAATGGGGCAAAACTCACTTAACAAATGTCCCACTTAGCAACAATAATTTTGGGCTCAGTTGTGGTGGTAGGCTGAGGACTACCTGTACTACAGGAGTCTTTGGAGCTTTTATTTTGACCAAAGTCAGCATTCGTAACTTAGCCTTTGGAAAACTACTAGAAAGCACTCCGGTAGATAAACTTGGGATTCGTGGAAAGTGGCAGAGCAAAAGCCACTTGCTCACTACCAAGGGAATTGAGATTTATCTCAAGGTTATCAAAAAAATACCTGGAAGACCCACTGCACTTCGGAAGGAACAAGTTGTCTGATTGAAACCAAGCACTCCATTCCACAAAAAGAATCTCACACTGGCTGCCAAGCAAGAAGGGGATAGTGCCATAGTTTGAGGCAGGAGCATCTGCAAGGAGGAAGGACAATGACAAGAAAATGGCAGCTGTGACCCACCCCTTTCTACAGGTATGTGAGGTATACAATACGTGTAACAAGGGGCAGGGCTTAGATGACCCAGTCACACTGCTCTTTTGATGCCTTTGATCCCCTCTTTGCCTCACCTACCCAGATGCCCTTAATCCATGGATAATTTGCCATTATGCAAGGCAATATGGATTTTGTTTTCGGTGAGTAAATTCTACAGGAGAATGTCCAGCCACCTATCTATCAGCTGAAGCTGAAGTACAAAGGGGGTCATACAGCAAAACAGCAAATCCAAACACACAGGCTGTCACTGCAACAACTAATCACTGGCTCTAAGAAGATCATTAATGTTTTACCTTAGCATATTGCAGGTTAGATGTCATGAAATCAATTAAACAAGCGTTGAGTGGTATTATTTGTTTAAATAACAAATCACTTAGGATCCCATGGAGCTCTGCTACTATTTTGTGGCAAAAGTATGAAAAAAAAAACCCCAGAATGTTCAGAAGGTGGTAAACATTTTTTAATAGAATGATTGTTGGGGAAATCGGCTTCAAACTCTTTTGTATGCTACTGCTTTCTCTGCCTACTGTCAAACAATATGCAAAGGGGGAAAAATAAGCCATCTGAAACGGTCAACTTAAATTTCATTAACTATGCGTTGTGTGCAGCATGCAGTAAAAACGGTGAATAAATTAGACCCAAGTTGTGTAAGGCAAATAGTAATGCCACCCTTCTTCAAAATATATAGAACATTTATTGCCTTGTTTCCTCCAGCTACCTCATGCTGATTCTTGGAGACAAGAATCTATCCAAAAGTTCTCATTACAGTCAAGAAAATAAGGCAACCCAGCAGAGCACTAGAATTTATCCTTTGTTTTAATCATAATAAAAAAACCTAAAGAAATATGAGTAGCTATCTTTCTGATGATCTTGTTTGTCGATCAAAAATATAAAAAGTGCTGTTAGGAGAAGAAAACATTGGGAAATCAGCCAAATCTACCTAATTCCCTACTGTTTTGGAGTCTCATATTACTTTCAAATTAATGTTTTTATTTTAGGAAGCTTTATATTACGTTCCCTAGTCACGGTAGAGAAGTAATTACTGTCTTCAGTGTAACATTTTCCATGTTGTCCCACTATTTCTTCCACCTTTTTGCTTTACTTTAAAAAAAAAGTTGGCAAGAAAAGAAAAATGGAATAACCACAAAATATATTTTAATTGAAAGTACAACAAGAAGCTCTAACTGGAAGCAGCCTGACATGTTTCTTGAACATAAAGACTCTCAACTAATCAATTTTAGGTTAGGTAATTTTTGGCTACGAATATTTATCGTTCTCCATCAAACTACACATAGCAGAAACTAATTTTCTTCAGAGAAAAAAAGTCAAACAGTAGCAATATTAAGAGTGGTTTCAGACAACTGCTGAGAAAAGATCCATCACTTCTTCGGAGCCATGCATATTGTTTCAATTAACGTTTAGCTGATGTCATAAAACATTATAAAGTCAAGTTTGAAAAAAAGAATAAAACGTCTGCTTATTAATTTATTGAAAAGATTAAGAGATACCTCCAGAAGCCAGTTTTTGTAAGGCTGGAAAACAGTTTAATAAGGACTCAGATATATAAAATGCTAGAGAGTCTGAAGAAAAAAAAACTTTCAGAGGCTGTAATATTTAAGATTTTTGTGCTGTTAGGAAGAACCTCCTGGATTTTGAAGGTGAAAGGAGATTCCAGAAATAAAGAATTTCATACTGGTTTGAGAAACAAGATGTAAACAGTAGCTTTATGATCATCACAAATGTTCTAACAGTATTATTGGGAAAGTAGAAATGATACAATAAATATAATAAGGATGGGATAAACATCAGTCAATCAAACTAACAAACAAAGAAGATAAAGAAGTCAGCATTTTAATGCTCCCCAAGAGGAGAAGCACTTGCCAGCATCACTTTATTGATGCCTGTTGTATCCCAAATGTCTATCAAAAGGAGGCTCAAATGATGACATATGTATCACGACATTACTGCACAAATTATGCAAACTTACATAATCGTCACTTGCGTGTTGTAGTTTTGATGTCAACATGGCTTGTAACAGACACTTCTGAAAATACTGTTCCTGTTTATTCAATATTTATAATATAGCTTCCTACCTTAAATATGTGACTCTGGACAGCTTATAACATTAAAATGGTAAAAGATACAATGACGTAAGAATCACAGCAGATGAGAAATTATGAACAGCACTCAATGTAAGCAGATGACAGGCTTTCTCACATATCTGGGCCTGAAGTTCAAGCACAGAGCCAAATCTTCAGGGCCATAAGAAAGCCCAGCGGGGTTGGGACCATTCCAGATGGCGGGCACACAACAGAAAAGGCTCTTCTCGGAGATCCCATCAGTTGATACTTCTAGATCAGGGGTAGGCAACCTTGGCTCTTTTATGACTCGTGGACTTCAACTCCCAGAATTCCTGAGCCAGCATGGCTGGCTCAGGAATTCTGGGAGTTGAAGTCCACGAGTCATAAAAGAGCCAAGGTTGCCTACCCCTGTTCTAGATGGATGAAATTAAGAGCATGCCCTTTTGCGAGACTGAATAGGATGGCTGGAAACAACTGGGGAGATGGTCATATATGAAAATAATACAGGCAAGTAGACATATTGCTATTGATAATCTTTCTTTTCCTCTGTTCAGTGGGTCATCCGAATTGCTGAACAGAAGCAGATCATTGGAACGTTTGAAGTCAAAAAACAAAACAAAACACCGAGTGGAATAAATCAGAGTTTTTGTTACCCCTTCTGGAATTCAGAGATCCTGGCCAACCTCAAAAGCTCCAAGCTTAGAAAAGCAATCATGCATCAGTAATAATACATAGAGGATAACTGCCCAACTCTAACTGAAAATAACGCATTGTTACCAACAGTTTCTTAATCATAATGTCTGAAATCTTGTCAGAATTGGGGGTGGGGTATATACTGACATTAGCATATGCAACAGAAGAACTAAAGATGAGCCTGGCCACATTAGACAATTTTAGACCTGGAGAATAAAAACTGGGGATTTATGTGACACTTAATACTGTATGGTATGATTATTCTCCATAAAAATCTGCCAATTCTCATCTACACCAGCATTAAATCTCACCAAAAGCTAAAAAAAGAGCTGGAGATCATAAATTTGAATTGGTAAATTTCCCAATTTATTGATGTATAAAACAGCTCTGGATCCCGCAGTGCTAAAATTAGACCTTTCTATGAAATATAACAATAACAACAATAATAAAGTTGGAAGGGACCTTGGAGGTCATCTAATCCAACCCCCTGCTCAGAAAATATTTCTGTTTCTATTTTTTTCTATTTTTCACCCAAGTTCATTTAACTTTTGGAGCTCAGCAATTCCACAAGTCACTTGCTCATTTCTTAACTTTGTATTTATTAGTAAGAATAATACCAAAAGGGCAAGAAAAAAGCACCTTTTTATATATAACAGCCAATCAGGACAGTACAATGTGTTTCAAACTATTTTTGTATAATTCAATTTATTTTTTTAAAGAAGAAAACAGCCTGTAAAATTTAAAATGTTGTAACATTTAGAGGTTTTCCTCTTTTATTTTTATTAGTAAAACCACACTTTAGAAGAACAATGACCCCCATTTATAGCTGTAATGTTTTTACCATTTATCAACATTAGGTTTTAAAAGGACAGAGGGAAGACAAAATTTGCTCCAAGAGAGGATTATGATTAAATGCTGGAACTCTGCAAATCAGAAAAGCACAGCAACAGTGCAGAAAAGGAGAATGCGTCTAATCTGATGGCAATCTCCTTCCACCGAGTTCATCAATATCATTTTGACAATCCAAGTATATTCTTACAGATGAAAGAATGCAGGGGAAAACCCCCATAAATTGTTGAAAAAGAAACCAGTGATATAACTTTTGGGCTATGATTTTGTATAGATTCTCTACAGCAGGGGTATCAAACTGCCGGCCCGTGGACCAGTTCCATCATTACAGAGGCCATGCCCATCCCAGCTCCGGCAGCACGAAAAAAGTCACGATACATCGCAACATGTCACGTGACGCGGCGAGTTTGTTACCTGTGCTCTACAGCAATGTTTATCAACCTCAGCAACTTTTAAGATTTATGGACTTCAAGTCCCAGAATTCCCTAAACAGCATGCTGATTGGGGAATTCTGAGACTTGAAGTCCACACATCTGAAAGTTATAGAGATTGAGAAACACTGCTCTAGAGAAGGGGTGTGAAACTCACAACGTCACGTGACATGTCACGATATATCACGACTTTTTCGCCATTGCCAGCAATGGGGTGGGTGCAGTTTTGGCATGACACATCCGGCCTGTGGGCCAGCAGTTTGACACCCCTGCTCGACAGCAATGAAACAAGTGAGGTTTAGTGTGTTTAGTGTGACTAGAAGAATGTGAATAGATGAGTTACTATCAGTGAACTCATCCTGTACTATTGTTGCAGCTCTTATTTTAGGGGACAGCTTGAGAAACTTTAAACTCTCAAAAGGCAATAGATACAAAGATTCCTACACACAACAGTGCAGATCATTAAAGGTGCTGCCCACCTAGCATCTTCCAAATAATTATTGTTCAGAGCTAACCCAATCCACATATTTAGTTGTGAACATAAGGAACTAATTTCAGGGACTGCCGTGAGGCTAGATAATGGTTTCTCAAGCGCAACAAGCAAAATGTTACTGATTCCCCCCCCCCCCCAGTCAGTACTGCTTGAATCTGGTGTGCCTGAGAAGGAAATTGGATAATGAAAGCAGGAAAAATCTGAAATAAATCTACTGATTTCCTGCTTGTGAATTTATGCACTAAAAGCACATGCTAAACCAAACCAAATAAACTCTTTTAATTTATACATAGGTTAGATTAGCAAACGCATTAGATTGGGCATAACTCAGAGACAGTACATTCATGTCTGTGCGTAATTGCAGTAAGACAAGAAAGCAATTCACATGTGCAAAGCCAAAGTGCATTGAGCAATAGATTACCTACTCTTTAAAATGCCTAAAATGAAGTCCACATTTGGAACTGAACAAGGGCCAGTAAATGGCTTCTATCCTGAATTTCTTCCGCAAAAGCCAAGATGCCATTCTTTCCAGAGTTAACAGGCCACAAAAAGCAAAGGAACAACCTAAAATGTCAGTTCGCCTTATTTTCTTTTTGCTCCTTAACCCAATCTACCCCAGAAATATTAATAACTTCCTTCCCTTTTAATCCTATCAACGATTCACTCCCACAAACAAACTCAGACTTTGACCTGGGAAGATAGAATGACAGCATGGAATCCTGAGGCAGAACAGACTGTACCAAATCTGACTGCATGTGAGGGGAGGATTTTAGACTTCTTTTCTACAGTAATACTGGAGAGAAAAATTTCAGGACTGAAACTGATCCTTTTATCTGTTAATTGGTTGGTGTTTATCTGTATAGAACTATATGTGCTTCTTACTTAATATCAGGAATATTAGAATGTAATCCCAAACTCACATCCAGAATAGTATGGCCTATTTTAATCACTTCAAAGTCAGTGTCTATAGACAACCAAGTAATGGTTGTCCCAAAGGTGCTTTTTTAAGAGGCAACTGGGCTTTCTTGTTTTTCTTTGAAGATGTTTCGCTTCTCATCCAAGAAGCTTCTTTAGCTCAGAGCTGAAGAAACTTCTTGGATGAGAAGCTAAATGTCTTCAAAGAAAAACAAGAAAATCCAGTTGCTTTGTGAAAAAGCACCTTTGGGACATTTCAAAATCAGCTGCTGCATGTGTAGTTTTCTTTGTCCTGGCCTAGTCAGGATCCAAATGGAAGCAGCGGAAACATCCAGGAGAGGATGGGTTGGTCATCAGACTATCCTAAGAAACTTATTGTTGTTTTTTTTTTGTTCAGCAGTAAATTTTCCCTCAGCTCCTAGGAACCAAACACTTCCTTCTTATTAACGTAAATACAACCACACATTAAAATGTTTTGTTTTATTTACTTGAAATTTTTATACAGCTCTCTGCCTTATACAATATAACCCAATAGTGCCATAGCATTCCTACACCAAGTAGATATGTGCTGAGCTTAACAACCATGCTGGCCTGGGAGTTTAGAATCTACTAAGATGTTATCCTAAGATTTGGGGTGGGTGGAAGCTGTGTTGGAGTAAGGAAGGGCAGAATGACAAAGCCGTCTTGAGCTTCAAGTTCCGCCCCCTTTTTGTTTGCATCACTGTACACTTGTACAGAAGAAGTTTTAACGCTGTTCTGAAAGACCAGGCAACTGGAGGTGGACCTTACCTCTGATGGGAGAATATTCCAGAAGTTGAGGGCCACATCACATCTTCTGGATCCCACTTTGGCAGATAGAATGCTAAGTAGGCCTCTTCGGCTGGAACAAGTGGGATGAGCTGATCCCATTGGGGTGAGATGACTCCTCTTTAGTATAAGAGGACGTTGAAAGAAACTATCATCTTTGATCTTCTGACTCTATAGCAATAAAGTTCTGATAGCCTTTGTGATGTCACTGTCAGCAGTACTATCACTTTCCATGATCTTGATGCTATCCTTCTGCTAAAGCAGGCTAGATCTGTTTTTTTCTTTTTTCTTTTTGGCTGCCGCAACAAACTGCTGGCTCACTTAAGCACAGGTGCAGAGGTACAGAATAGGCAGTTCCTGGCTCAACAGTAGTGCCTGGGAGAGAGATCTAGCTGTCATGGTGGACCACTGCTTAAGTGAGTCAGCAGTTTGTTGCAGCAGCCAAAAAAACCCAAAATGGACCTAGGCCGCTTTAGCAGAGGGCTAGCTTGAAGATCATGGAGAGTAATAGTACTGTTCTATACTGAACTACTGAGGTCACGCTTGGAACACAGATAGTCCTCAACTTACAACCACAACTGAGCCTAATATTTCCATTGCTAAGCAAGGCAGTCGTTAAGTGAGTTTTGCCCCATATAGTGTCCTTTTTGCCCTGGTTGTTAGGAGAATCACTACAATTATTAAGTAAATCATGCAGTCATTAAGCAAATCTGGCTTCCCCCACTGACTTTGCTCGTCGGAAGCAGGCAGGGAAGGTTACAAATGGTGAACACATGACCCTGGGACAGTGTGTTCACCATAAATACATGTCAGTTTCCAAGCCACCCAATTTTGATCACGTGACCATGGGGATGCTGCAACCGCTGGAAGTGTGAAAACCAGTCAGAAGGTCTCTTGTTTCAGTGCCATTGTAACTTTGCATGGTCACTAAACGAATGGATATAAGTCAAGGACTGCCTGTACTGTGTCCAGTTCTGATCACCACGATACAAGAAAGATGCTGAGGCCCTAGAAAGAGTGCAGAGAAGAAGGACAATGATGATAAGGGTCTGGAGGCTGAATCTTATGATGAGCAGTTAAGGGAATTTGTTATCATAACAAAGAAAAGGGAAGGCATGATAGCAGTTTCCCAATACGTGAAGTGCTGTGGCAGGAAAGAGGAGGTCAATTTATTTTCCATAGCAACTAATGTCAGGGACAAGAAGCAATGGGTGCAAGCTTATCAGAGGGAAATCCAACCTGGAAATGAGGGAATTTCCTGACAGTGAGAACAATTACTCAGTGGAACAGCTTTCCTCCTGGTGTTGTGGGTGTTCCATTGCTGGGTTTCAAGATTGGACAAACATTTGTCCAGAATGGTATAAGGACTCCTACCTTGGGCAGGGGATTGGACTAGAAGATCTCCAAGGTTCCTTTCAACCCTATGAAGAGCTGACAGCATCTGGTATAAGGATGCCATCACATGGCTTTCCAGCTGCAGAGAGAAGGGAGAGCCAAGGAAGCCGGAAGAAATTCTTCTTGCAAGCGGGCCACTGGATTTTTGAAAATAATTTGTCAAATGGGTATGGCCATTCTCACAAAAAAGTGACTATGGGCAGCATACAACACAAATAATAGGATCTGTGCCATGCTCCAGCTGAACCAGAAATAACTAAATTGGCTCAGCTGGCCTGTGATGACAACAGCATGGGAGAACAGGAATGTAGTGCTAATTTGGAAACAGTGCCACAGCTCTCTGGGAAAGTCTACTGATCCAACAGGAAGGTTTCATTTTCTCTGTGGTTTTCTCCTGTGCACGAAACACACATAGATGCAAATGTTCATCTATGTGGCAGTAAATACCCCCATCTGGATGAGATCTAAACAATGAATTCTTAGCCACTTATCATTAATTCAGAACATTTTCTCCTGGCACCATTGTAGCCATAAAGAATCCCTAAGAACATTCATTTCCCAAAACATCAAAATACATGGAAGAAAAAAGGATTCATCCTTATTACTACATTTTTAATAAAAAAATATCTTTGTAAATCAATGAGGGTGAGGCTTTTTTTTTCCTTTTCTCCTTAAGCTTCAAAAATGCCCAATGAAACTTTAAGAGAAAAAGTAATCCTTTACTGGACTTACTCTCTGACCACTGAAATGGCCACAACTTTGTGAATAAAAGTGGTCTGAAGAGCCTTAAAAATCCAATTTCATGGGAATAGTGTGTCTTGGATTTCTTATGCATTCTTTAATTTAGCAGGTTTGAGGTAATGTAATTCATAAATTGTACTATGATGCACCCTTTGGGCTACTGGAAGGATGAGTTAGTGAGATCTCTCAAATGGAGATAACTATATGGTATTGTTGAAAGAAAAATCTTCATCAGGGTCCAATCCAAACCGGGAATAAACAAACATGAAGACTGCTTTAGAAAGAAGGTAGTAGTTTATTGAAGAGGAGAGCCAGACAGAAAGATGGCTCTGGAAAAAAAAAACCTGACCACCTGGAGCTTTTCTGGGGCTCTTGAGGTTGTTTCATGTTCCTGTTTGAGGCTTTGTATTTCCTGTGTCATGTACTTGGACCTGAATCTGAGTGTGCCCCTTTGGCACTGGTGGGTTAATCCTATTATGTCCTGTCTTAGAATTTGGGTGGGGTATGTAGATTTTAAGGGTCTTTGTCTTCCTAATCTCTTCAGTTTCTAGCTGGAAGACTCCAACCTTCCTGAATGGATTATTACATCTGCATTTCTAAAAACTGGTTTCTGCTGAGTTGCCTGGCTGGGGGAGGGGAGGAGAAGTTTCTGTCATGTTAAAGATCTTCTCCATTATTCATTTGGGGAAATATATTCTGCCTTTTTAATATTCCCCAAAATATTTCTTTCTCTGGGTGGGGGCTGACTTCCCACAGTATCTTCCACACAGTCCTGCTGAAGTCCATACATCTCAAAATTGTCCAGGTTGAGAAACACTGGTCTAAGGAAATGAGAATCACAGCATCCTGAGAGCAGAACCAGTATACATCCTTCCAAGTGCTGAATTAGAAACCAGTGAGATCAGATCTTCTCTTAAGCATCAAAGTCAGCTGGGTGACTTTGGGTGGTTACTCTCTTTTAGCCTAATCTGTCTCACAGGCTTGTTGTAGCTACCACTGGGTTACTTCTACTAATCTTTTCCCCTCTAGGTTCCTGTGCCTGTATATATATTCTCAAAAACATAAATCCCATTCTATAACACCACACACTCTTGCCATTCCTCAATAGATCTGCAACATCTTCATTACAGTTATAAATATTAAGCTTCACTCAGAATGGATCCAATGAATGAACTGATGTCCGTTAGTCAATTTGTGCGTGTGTCTGTGTGTTGTTTTAAAAGAATTCACCACATCACCTGAATTTCCAAGAGTATTTGATTGTGTTGCTCTAAAACATAGAGATACTTTACCAACAACGAGGGGCAAATCATATATAGACCAAACCTCTCAGTTTTCAAGGGAACTCTAGAGACAATGTAATACTTCTGCTTGACTATTGCCATCTAGTGTTTCTTTCAAACATTAAACACGTTTGAGCAGGAGACACAAACCGCTTTTGAGTCATCCTTGAGCTATTTCTAGGAATGTCTAACAATTAGAAAGAGAAAAAAGAAAAAAGGCAAAAGGAATTTTTACTATTAACAAGCCTTGTGGTTTAACCTCCACCTTATAAACCAAATCAACAATAGTTACTTTAAGCCTCCTGTGTAAAAAGATCGGTATGTGAGTAGCTGCCTCTTCCAAGATCCTACTGGCCTGGATGAAGTGCAGGAAGATCACTCCCTTCTTTATTTCTAGTTCCCCGTGTCCGTTTTCTTCTTTTCTTTTTACTGTCCAATTAAGTATGGAAATTCACTTCAATGGTGGCATCCCATCCCACCCCCAGTGAAAGTTTTTTGGCTCTTGCAAATGCAGGTGTTCATTAGTCTGCCTCTAGGCCAGGGATAGGCAACCTTGGCTCTTTTATGACTCGTGGACTTCAACTCCCAGAATCCCTGATCCAGCCATGCTGAGGGGAAAGGGAGAGGTTTCCAAGCTGAGCCATGCTGGCTCAGGAATTCTGGGAGTTGAAGTCCACGAGTCATAAAAGAGCCAAGGTTGCCTACCCCTGCTCTAGACATCCAAAAAACCTCTTTTTCACCTTCAGAGCAGTTATAGTGGAAGAGCAATGGTGGGAGATGTTTTCACCATTGCAACCAGGTAGCTTTGGGACAACATACCTCCTTTGACTACAAATTTTCTTCTCCATATGAGCTCTTAGTGGGGTTTAACAAACTGGGTTTCCTGGAACTCCAAGGTCGGGCAAAGACTTGAACAGGTTTTCTAGGAGTAAGAATGGGGAGGTATTTACTCCACAAGGGATAAAGGAAAACAAAACCCTCTGCAAGGAACAAAGAGGTGTTTTTTCCCCTGCCTAGTCCCATGTGAAGAGTGTTCTCTCAATCCCTCGTAGACAGGTTTTTTATTTTAGCCCTTAGAGCAGGTATGTCACGTGACGTCGCACAACATATCAGGACATTTTCCCCATTGCTGGCAATGGGGTGGGCGCGGTTTCACCGTGACGCATCCAGCCTGCGGGCGGGCAGTTTGACATGATTGCCTTAGAGGGGAAAAAAAACTCAGAGGGTGAGGTGGGGGGGAGAAGCCCCTTGGAAAGATTTTTCCCATGGCTTTTTGTGGAGAGTACATCACCACCACCATTTAATCACCAAGTTCAAATAGAAAGGACCAGATTTGTCAGCTGACGTTCAAAAGGCTTATCCTTCTTATTCAATGTTTTGGGTTTTTTTAAACAAACAGTTTCTGTAGGCTGAAAAAGTTGAAAATCCCTGCTGTTAAAACCATTTATTCTATATTCCATATTTTTTATTTTATTTTTTTATTTTATTTATTCCCTGTCTTTATTAGTTTGATAAAAACTCAAAGCAACTAACATATCTAATACTCCTTTCTTCTCCAATTTTCTCTACAAAAACAATCCCATGAAGTGAGTTGGACTGAGAGAGAGAGAGAGTGATTGGTCCAAAGTCAGCTGGCTTCCTTGCCTAAATCAGAACTAGAACTTACTGTTTCCTGGTTTCTAGTCTGCTGCCTTAACCACTACAACAAACTGGCTCCAAACTACATCAGTACGGTATCACTGTAACATTGAGAGCTGAAGTGCATATCTGGAAATTATTTCCAGTTTCGTTAATAACAGATCTTGCTCTTAGGATCACATATACAATGAATATG